AGTCATCGTATACCGTGGCGAAATTGTCCATACCTCGGGGAGTCAACAGCCCTAGTTCACAGACTATACCCGCGATTGCTCGGGCGGTATAAGCACCGCGTGAGAATCCAAAAAAGTAGATCTTATCGCCCTCCTCGTAGTTATCCACGAGGAAGCCATATGCAGCACGAACGTTCGCACTGATTCCGATCCCGGCGACACCTAGTATATCAGTCAGGAATATCCATGGAACACGGTCGGATTCAACGTCTAGACACCGTACCTCCGAAATACTTGTCGGCTAGACCGGTCCCCACGCCTTTCTGGTAGTAGACGATTTGAGGAATTTCTTTGTTCTCTCCATCCTCTTCCACGACTGCCACGCGGCTTAGAGTGCGCGTCAACCGCGTAACATTCGACGGAGGTTCCTGAGAATCCGCTGTCGAGTCTTTCCAGGTTCCTGGAAGAACCGACCATTATTAGCACGGATTTAGCTTCCTCCAGTAGTTCAATCGAACATACCATCGCAGCAGACAATGAGACGTTTAGGTGACATTTTGCATGTGGATATCTGGAATTCTGTGGTTCGAGTGCACGTTTCACATGCTATTTCATACGCCCATCATGAACTCCCTCGTAGAACCCCTATTCCATTTATTTGAATTTGACTAGACCTCAGCTGAGCCCCAGCCACCGTTGGGGCAGTCAGCCTCACATCATCTGCTCTCGAACACGAGGTCTCCCGCAGACTGGGCAAGTTTGGACGAAGCCAAGATTCGTTCGTATCCAGCAGATGCTGGTGTTCCGACGCGGCGTTCCTTGGCTACAGCGGGTGCGGAGTGAACCCTTACAGCGCAAACCTCATCCCTCATCACGAGGAAAGTCAAATGAAGAACAAGGTATTGGGCTCATAGAATTACAGGTGGATGTCTGCACAAGTATGAATGAAGACTGAAAGGTTGGTTCGCGGAAGCCATTCCCACAAGGAGGGGGTGGCGTTGAATACGGATAACTTTAAATAGTAGAGTTAGCGGATCGACGAATACGAGGTTGACAGTCCTTCTCGGGACGCTGCTTCTCAGATTAAAGCAGAAGCGACACGAAGCGTCAGGTTATATATATAGATGATTTGGTGGTGCTATAACGAGGCCTGTACGAGCGCATTGAGGTGGAATGATCCCTGCATGCACAGCCATGAGGCTCTTGATGAGCGGGATATATTGTCAATCCAGAAACTATTACCCCCTTGGGTAATCTCTTCCTCATACTTCCATTTATGGTACAACATGGTTTCTATCCAAGAAACCGAACAATTCAAATGCATATACCTCCTACAAAAATAATAGAAGTGGCCTGATCCGGTACAGGTGTCCACGTGAAATGCGTTGGCGTGATAATACACTACAACATAAGCTTATATTGGCTCACAGAAACCATGGAACGGGCTGGAGGCCGACCGAACACCAAAGATGCAACACGGTAGACCGCTCCAGACTTGAAGAGATTGAATTGTAACGGTGATGAGGGCAAAAGCGTGGTTCGTTCCACACTCCCCTCAAAATCCTCCCGAGATATAATAGATCCATTGCACTTGGACTTAGCCTTAGCTCCTTTTAGCTTCTTATCAATACTAGCATACTAACATATATTCAAACGCTGCTACATAACTCATAAACACCATGCCCGTCAGAGACTACGGAATCTGGAAGGGATTTCCAGCTCACTACGAGCTGGAAGATCGTTTCGAGGACCCCAAATCCCCCCATCTCTCGCTGTACTACCATGACAACAATGCAAAAATGCCACAATTCGACCGTGACTACCGACACAAACACAAGGGCAATCCACCAAACAAGCAGAAACCAAAGGAGATACCTGGATTATTCCGCGCCGCAATCAACATCAAGTCCACAGGCAAGGAGTCCCGGCTTGCCTATTGGGTGAACCATAACATTGTCGAGCATCCCATCGCCAAGAAGCTATCTAATTTGGACTTCGGCTTCCACCCGATTGAAGACCTCACCGATTTTGATGGTAAAGGTCTAGACTTCATTCGAGGGAACCTCTTCACTACACAGAGCGGCCGTGTTCTTCCCCATGACATCCCCGGCACAAATAACGATATAATCGACGTTCTGGAGCCCGAGGTAAAAAAGGCAATTCACCACAAAGCTACTATATATCTATTCGGGTCCATGTTCAACACCAGAAATGGAATCCACAACGTCCACATGAATCAGGGCAATATTCCACACTTTGTCAAGGACGATGGCGTATTCCAGGATGGCGGCCTTCTCATTGAGTACGACGATCACTGGACTGGCGTTTTTCTTGCATTCGCCTCACAAGCCGCTCATACCGATGATCACAATGGACATGCTTTCGCAAAGCACGTCGTTACCTGGGCGGACATTCTACCCAAGGAGATTATTGAGAATTCGGTGGCTATCAAGGAAGCACTCATCAATCCACGTGGCAGAGATGACCGGTCTGCCAAAGAAAAAAAGTTCGTTACGCTGGAGAACCTTACAAATCACAGAGTGGCCCTGGAATCATGGAGGTTTCATAATGCTGCTGGTCAAGTTCAAGCACTCCCTCACAATGCAGCTTTGGACTCTCGAGCTATGAAAAGGTTCGAGATGCCAAATTGTCCTCTTTCTAATAATGGTGATACTATCACCCTACTCAATGAGGACGGCCTCAGGGTCGATGGGGTAAGCTATGGGGCTCGGCAGGGAGCGACGGAAGGCCGTCCGATTGTTTTTGCCCATTGAAATTGATTACTTTTGCAGCCAAGTTGGGTATTCTTGTCTTGGCAATGATGACAATATCGCAAAGTGTTAGGTTGATGAGCGGTGAAAAAAAGAAAACTTGTAACGCAAAATTACTCTTCCATCTCAATTTTGTTTTACGAATTGCTGATCCAGACTGTCAGATATGGCTACTCTGTGTGTAACTTCCTAAGCTAACAATGATAATCGTGGAAATACATTTAAGGATATGGGTTGAGTGTTGACTGGGTTGCTAGATGTTTTTGGCGAGGCATGGCATAGCCATTTAGCGGCCACGGCGCGCCCTCCGTGATATAGCGTTTAGATCGTATAACGAAAAGACGTCGTAATGAAAAGAATTATATAAACAATAGAGTAAGATATCCAAACCGTCAATGATCCATGGTTTATGTGGCAAAGCTAGACTTCGATAATTTGCAGTGGGAAAATGATTACAGTACGTGGTGTGTTCGGCAACCTCATCCACTGGAGAAAAAAAGTTTAAAGGAATAGGTCACAGCTCGCGTTCGAGATCGGGCCTCACCATGGTTTCTTGCTTCGGATAAGCATCGAAATCTAAGCAAGGTTGAGTGGTAGCGTACCGTGGGTCCCTGTAGTTTGGCTGTCTACGGGAGTAGATTTCGTATAGAGTCTTTCTTTGTTCATGCGTTCAGTGCGGAGAACTATGTACTGAGGTTTCACCATCGGAAGGATTATATCTATGGTGTCCTTGTATTACAAACGACGTCAATGTCATTATGACGGCTCTTGGATGGTCATTGGTATGTAGTTAGTAGGTACCCACTTTCGCTGCTCTTACAACACTCGGCAATTAGCCTGAACGATGTTATAAGAAGACAATGCCCTTGACATCTTAGTGCTTGTACCTCAAAACCCACTGTTCATTTGTTTAGGAGAAAGACTTACGCCACGTACCATTACAATGTGGGCTTTCCTTCTTTTCACAATCTGCACGCTGTCAGTGCAACCAGCGATCGCTTGGGGAGATGTTGGGCATCGAGCTATCGCCTACTTGGCTGAGAAACACCTTACTCCTACCGGCAATAATCTCGTAAATGAGCTTCTCGCCAACAATAAAGGGTTTGATATCTCTGACGCCGCAACGTGGGCGGACACCATCAAGTGGAAACGACCGCTCACTAGACCTTTGCATTATATCAGTATGTTATACGAATAGTATATGGATCACTCAACATCTAATTTGGCTTCAGACCCAAATGACGAACCTCCAAATTCATGTTCCGTCTCATATCCGGATGATTGCCCTGCCGAAGGCTGTATCATTTCACTGATGGCAAATATGGTAAGTTGCCTGTATCCACCATGTCGTTGACACGAAATTTTTCTTACTTTCGTCCCTCTGCGTCCTCGGTCTCTAACACTCTGCAACTACAGACCCATCAAATCAATGACAAAAAAGCCAATATGACCCAGAAAAAGGAGGCCTTGATGTTCTTGATTCACCTTTTCGGGGACCTACACCAACCGCTGCACGTCACAGGAGTGGCAAAAGGTGGGAATGATATTCGTGTCTGCTTCGATGCCAAGGCTCCGTGCGACGATGACAACAAGAAATGGAACCTACACGCAGTCTGGGATACTGCCATTCCACACAAAATCAATGGCATAAAGCACAGTCTCAAACACAATCCTGAAAGGCTAGCGTCAGCGAAGTGGGCCGATAGACTCCATCAGAAAAACAGGCCGCGACCAGTCGATACCGAGTGTGCAAATACTCGACAACCCTTGAAATGCATCAAGAAGTGGGCGACGGAATCAAATCAGCTTAATTGTGATTTCGTGATGGAAAGGGGGCTTGAGTGGCTTGAGGAGAACGATCTGGGTGGTGAGTATTATGAGGTAGCTGCGCCTATTGTTGATGAACAAATCTTCAAAGCAGCTGTACGACTTGCCGGTTGGATCAATGCCCTCGCAGATAGGGCAGCGGCCGATGAATTCAGAGACGTCCATCTTCAAGGTGATCTCTAATGATGGGATATGGTCTGTTACATGGCTTCTGGAAAAGTGATTTTTGTTGTCATGCTCTAGTGTGAGTAGGCTTGTCCTGGAATAATACTATCAATGAATGGAAAAGTAATGTTCTCGGTACTGGTTGATTTGAGTGGACAAAAAGACGCAAATATGATTTAGGTCGTGATTAACTGAGTGGATTTTCAGGCTGAGTCCCGCTACTAGTAACTATATTTACCCCCTTGCATACTTATCACATCAACCAGATATATTTAAGCTTTGCTCATAATCCGGCAACGCCCACTTGACCATCCACTCCGACTGGAGCACATCTTCAGCTGTCGGTCGCGCTTCCGGTCGGAACAGCAACATCCTGCGGATCAGATCCACAAACGCGGCTCTCTCTTCCTCCTCAACCACACCTCTCCACTTTCTCCTCCACTTCTGTATGTCTATGTCGAATGCCTCCTCAAGGGGAGGCCATTTATTCTCCAGATATGCGTCTGTTGGATGCCCATCCTCCGTAAAGAACTTGCCTCTTCCCTCCCAACGCAGCCACCACTCCCTTGGCAGTGGTCCCAGTACATCGATATGTTGTGCCACAATTTCATCGTCGGGAACCATATCAATACTGAAGAGAGCTTTCATTCCTATAACCTCCCATATCGCCGTAGCTAGGCTCCAGATGTCCGAAGAATATGTAAGCGGCTTTTGTGGCTCAAATCTGGCTTCTGGGGAGCGAAAGGCCGGAGGTGTGTGGCAGTCTTGTCCAAGTCGAACCTCTGAGGCGGGAGCGAAGGCCTCGCCAAAGTCGCTAAGAAGTGGACGTACATCGGCTAGCGTCATTGTTTCGGCATATTTTCCTAGAAATAAAGGCTTCACCGCTTGAGCTGGGATATTAGGAGTAAGGGGCTTTCCATCGCAGCGCGAGATGGGAACTGTCTCGGGTTCCCCATAACTTTCGTACAATTCTTTGATAGAAAGATCGTCAAACTTATATGGGAGCTTAATCATGATATTCTTTAGGTGAATATCTTGATTCAGTAGGTTGTAATTAGCTCATGGGGACCACGTCGTAAGAGGGCCTCTTGACGAACCTCCGTGTACATATCCGTGCGAATGCATGTAAGCAACAGCCTGTGTAAGTCCATAGCACAGCGCTCGAGCCACGTCAAGAGGAAAAAGACGGCTGAAAGAGATCTCCCTAAGATTACATTGTGCGGGGGCTGTAGTATAGCACGCATGTATCCCGTTTGGACCCTGTACTTGGAATTCGTCGAATATCATCGGTATCAAGCTGCGTTCGTGGGCAGGAGGTGCTGAGAATGAGGATGACTTTAACAGTGTTCTAAGTACCCTTGCCTCCCGTGGATGCGCGTCCGCTGTGTTGACTTTCAGGGCGACATATTTCTTAAGGGCAGTATCTCGAGCGAGCCAGACGGTAGAGTAACCACCATGACCTAGTTTATCTACGATGCGGTACCGGCTATGAAGCACGTCACCGATCATAACTGGGTGGTAACCTCCAGGCTGATAGTCTTCAAGTGTTTCCACCCCCATGATCCAGTTGTACTCCACGCGAGCCTGAGGCTTTGTGGAACTAAGCCGTGCAAATAAGCCTGAGTGGGTCTTCTGGGGGCAGTGGGGCGACCTGACACTTGGTGGGGAGGAACATGGTTGGCTAATAGGTGTTGAGGAAAGAATAGAGCGCCCAAGTATCTGGGCACGACACTTCATGGTCAGTTGGTATGATGGATGCCTGATGATGGTTCCGAAGCTGCCTCTTGCGCATCTGGGAAGGAAGAAGAGTTCCACAAGCACGAACTGTCTGTTGCCGTAGTGATCATATATCACGTGAAGATGTACAGTCATACATATCATCGGCAGCTTATTTAGATCATAACTGAAAGTAACGTTGTCAAATAGTCTACTCGGTTAAGGGTCTTTGCTCGGGTTTCATGGAGACTCTGTATACAGATGACCGAAATTGCTCATTACAACTATACTCCTTATGTTGATAGCAGCAGTTTACTTTATTTTACATTATTTTTTATTCTATTTTATTTTTCTTTTTTTTTTTTCTCAATTTTCAATTTTCTTTTATACCTGCTGAGTTGGTTCTCAAGTACTGATCAGAACTTCAATTATGTACTATCAAAGCTGGCTACAACTACAAAGATGGTAGAATAGATTATGTCACCATTTTCGAGTCTGAAATTACTATAGCCACTCGCGGCTGGTCCTGTGCCTTCGACTGAGTTGTAAGATCCCTTGGGTGTCCTTCCTCTTAGAAGGAAAGGGCTGTGGAATAAAGGCAAATAACTTGAATTCGAACAAGCATGACCTAACAAAAGTGAAACTCTTGAAACGAATGACAGAACTGACTGTTGAAGCCAATTATGATTAGCGATGTTGCGATTCGCCCCATGCCTGCGGCATACTAAGCTTGCCCTTGAATAGGACAGACTACTAAGTTAACTTGCCTCCTATCAGCCTGCTTGTTGTCCAACGTACGACCTGACGTGTTACGATTCCACTCCGTGTGCATGTCTCTTTGTAGAGGCAGGAACTTAAGGGAGGAGAGTAAAGTCCCCAGACTCCGCGTAGATAGTATTGAAATCTGAACAGGAAGCAGCCCGGACGCGATAAGGACTAGAAGACGCAAACTTCATGTCAGCAAATAATGGACACGCACCCCACGAACGGTACTCAAATGGAGTCTACCACATACGTTGTGCGAAGGGGGGACGGGCAACTTGGCGGAGGAATCGTCACACAGCCCCCACCATCAGTTGTGATGGGCGTCCGGCTGAGGAGATCGGCGATCTGGGGAGGGAATTCCCTAAAGTTGGTAAGATAGAGGCAGAACTGTGGCGGATCAGTGCTGGAGAATGTAATTACATTAGCTAGGGCACTAGACCATGTTTCAAAGTTTTGAGTCTTTCGCGATACTTACTTGACCGCGGTCCAGCACACTTGCCATGGCTGCTTGCAGTGAACGGTGTCACCGGCAGCGGGCTTGATAACTGCGATAGCGCTGGCAGTCGTCAGAAGGGTGGCGATAGCAACAGGGATAAGATACATGATGAGGACAAGTATTATCTTGCTTTAAAGTCTGTTTTGGGGGGTCTGATGGATGTTGCATTGGCTTGATCGAATCCGTGGAGAGCTAGCCTTCTTATACCGGCCATGTCGACTCTCACGCTGCTCTACTCGCTTACCCCGTAGGTTTGACTGGTGTCCGATCATGGCAGTCAAGGGATCTATGTCTAGTACTTGGCACAGCCACTCTCATTACGAGATGAGCATCTGTATGGACGGAGCGGAGTTGGATTCCCAGTTCGTGATCCTGAATCAATGTTTCACGAATTATTGTTGCTAATTAATCAAATCTAGCATTTCATATGCTGCCTACGAGTGAGTGAAAAGTGCAGCCAATACGAGAAAAAAGGATAGTGGATGTATCCCATGATACCTCGTGTGATCTTCAAGTCAAAGTATGCTTTTACAATTGGCTAGTATACATCAGGGCTCCTACTCCAAACCTTCCTCGCAAGGGTATACGGACACGAGAGAATGGATTTGTTATCCGAGTTGCCTCCTTGGCGTTAACGGTTGATTCAGGAGAGCCATACTGATGTTGCTGATAATCGTTTTCTATATTCAAGAGGTGCGCGAAAAATAAGCAGATTCCCAATTTTACCAAAGCGCTGGGGATGTGTAACGTCATGTATACCTGCAACAATGGCCAGCATTTAACCTCAGCGACCAAGCGTTTTGCTTCAAGTCCAGGTGATGATAGGTGTATCAAAGCTTCGGACGACTACCCGTGGTCGTACGGCCTTCGGCTATGCATTGTCACCTGCCAAAACGCACCAATAGCATTATATTCCGACGTAAGATTCCATATGACAAGATCGATCCGTTTGAGTAATGGAGCTACTGCATTAGGCAGTATTACAGGAGATCTTCGTGAAACAGTTGGCGTTGATATGTCCCGTTCGTAATCGCCTCCAGGATTTCCACGTGTGTTTGAAGGATATTGTCAAAGGATCATACAAAGTTTAACTATTATACGTGTGATTCTAGCTCAATTGGCAGAGGGTGGAGAACCAAGTTAAATGTACAATCACGGCTGGAATTTCATCTGCCGATCTAATCCATGGCACTCAAGATACTCTCCGCATAATGGAAATTACCAGATCAATTGCTGTCTACTGGGTCTTTCTGAGTTGCACCAAGAAGTGCGTGATCGGGGTCCAAACGGTACGCCGGGTGATAAAGGCTGGGCGATATGCGATAGACTATCTGTAAGGCATACAGCTATGACTGCTACGAACGGGATCATTAACAAGCCCTATGTTGTGGATATGAAGGTATAATAATCAGTGGCCCTTGGATAGCTACCCTGAAGGTGCTAGCGTATTCTACGGTGATGGTGTGGGATAGGGTAAAGAATGAGGTATACAGTTAGGCGGACTTGAGACAATGATGATAGGACGACATTGCACAATCTATCCAGGGATTTCTCAGTGTTGTCATGTTCGGGATAAATTAGAGGCCATGGTCGAGGTCATTGAATCATCTTGTGACCTCGGTCTTGGAAATGGCTAATGAGCTTGCCCTTGGCATGTATGCCTAGTAGTACTCCGAATGCCTCATGCTGGAGAATAGCTCAGTTTTACGGGTCTAGAGTGCAATTCATACCTGCCACTCACATTAACCACCAAGGACGAATCGGTATTTCTCTGTCTCACCATAGTATCTGCATATCTATACCCTTATCTAGCCAAATGGATGATCCCTAAAGGAAAGCACATGCAGAGTCATGTCGGAACCGCAAGATCAATTGTCCGGCATATCCTTGTTTACTCCCTACAGCGCCCGAGAAACGTTGACTTCTTCATCTTCTGGAGGGCTCTGTTCACAATGTGGCTCTCCCTTATCCCCTCAATCATCACTCCGGATTATACCTGGCCAGCACCCGCTGTTACTACAGTCCAAAGAGTAACCCCACCAGTGCCCGCCGTACCAGGCGCCAATAGCAGATGGCTTTGGGGTAAAGCACATGGTGTGCTCTACCACTTCTCACGGTGCTACTGCTACCTGTTCGGGTTATATTTTGACCCGCACATTATCCAGCTGCCGTTTGGACTCGTTCTAAAATGGACCGATCGGACGAGCGTGGAGGAGGTCATTGCAATGAAAATGGCTCGAGCAGCTGGTATTCCAGTGCCGAGAGTCCTCAGCTGCGGAGAGCACGTTACTCCTCAGTTGACCCGAGAGGTCTCGATACTCATGACGAGACTGCCAGGCTTCAGCCTTATGAACTCCGATGATCCCTTGGAGATTGCTGACGAGGGTCCGTGGCTTGAAGAACTGAAGACTTGCGTCCACGCTATGCGCGAGTGGGAACCACCAAGTCAGGATATTATCTGCTCGCCTATCGGAACGGCCCTCCGCAGCTCGCGCGTCCCTGACCACATCATGGGTCCTTTCAAAGATCACAAATCATTCTACCAGCACCTTTTTGCACCAGCATCTCAGCATGGTTTCATATCTGTTGATGAATACAATAATACATTCGCTACTGCGAAGCAGTTACAACAGCGCCCTTATAAAGTCAAGTTCACTCACGGAGACCTCAAAGCTCATAACATTCTAATCAATGAAGATGGGCACTTGGCTGGCTTTCTCGACTGGGAATCCGGGGGTTGGTATCCCGAATTTTGGGAATACACGACAGCAATGCGCTTCGGGAGAGAAAGCTGGTGGTATCAGGTTGCTATGTGGATGGGTGGTGATGAGTATCGAGAAGCGCTAGAATCAGATAGAGCGTTGAACCGTTTGACGGTGGACTCTTACATAGCTTTTTGATTGCGTTGCATAGACAGAAGGCCAGACATAATGAGTACTGTACAGACACAGCCTACCAGGCAAATGGTAAACACGGGTCATGGCACTCTTCATGTTTTGTACGCTTGCCTTGTGACTATCAGTTATTAAAGCGAGAGTCCAGCCATCGGCTGCCCGCGAGTTGTTCGATGTCTCGGCGTGGAACGAGGCACCTTTCTGCTTTTTACACTCGGGACCCTTTTTTTTTTGGCTTCCTTGGTATGAATGTGCTGCTCTACTACGTGACAACATATGCTATTATTTATGGAATGTCCTTCACGCTTGCTAGTTACCCTCTACCAATCCTCAACGCCGCATCAGTAGTTGGCCGTATTATACTTGATGCATGTAAGGTTCCCCCTTCCTTCAACCTTGCCACAAATGCTTATCTCAGTCCCTTTTGAGTAGTATGGAGCAGGTAAGACAGACCCAATGAATGTGTTAATACCAACGTACTTTGCCCTTGCGGTTCTATCCTTCGCGTAGGTTGGGATCGAAAACAACCTCAGCCTCATAGTTTTCACTTTACTATACGGCATATTTGCGGAAGGATTCATGGCCCTGCCCTATAGCATTGTCGTCAGACTCACCCTCCGTTGGCGTTGCTGGAGTCCGGATGGGTATGGTTAGTACAGTGGGTAGCCTGACAATTCTTATTGGCACTCCGTTGGGCGGTGCTATTCTTCGTCATGGTGGCTGGATAGCACTTCAAATGTTTGGTGGTGGAACTCTTCTAGTCTCAAAAGTGAGCGTCTTTGTGAGCCGAATTTCCAAGACTGGGTGGCATTTTACTAGGGAGCTTTAATCAACATGGACAAGCTTCTTGGATAAATAATACAGTGATTGGACGTTAATATGTGGGTATATTTCAGCTAATACAGAGGAACCTATGAAGTTCTAAAGTTTACTTCGAAAGCCAAAAGCCACTTTAAATGACCTCACAGGTCAATATCATCCATCGTATCGCTGCATGCCGTAAGCATATATTGCTTTAGATTGATCAAATATTATGTCACAATACTCTTAACAAGGCTTCGCCGTAGATATGATCTGCAGATTGCGTTGGACTCCCTCGATTGTTAGACTAATGCAGACAAAAGGTAAGACAGATTCTGGGTGGATTTGAAACTGTGATCTATCCTTGGCTATACCCTAACTGAACCTTACTGAAAGGAACAATGATGTTGATACCGTATGGGCGAAACAATTTTTAGAGGCTCCAGACCGATCCACAGCCACATGTAAACAGAGCATCGTCGCATTCATACCCTGCTAGGTAGATTTCTGAGATCCACGGCTATCTAAATCTCGGGAACCCGCATCTTACGATCTCCAGCCAACTTTAAATGTAAGAGACTTTCGTGAGGGGCTATAGTAGGGCGGCAAATCCATACCCACCCACGACGGCTTGGATTTGGATATCGATCTTCGTATCTATTCTACATATGCTGTGTTTGATCAGGATTCCTCGGCGGGACTTCCTCAAAAACTTCTCTGTTTTCAGAAAACATCTGCATATACTCTATATCATTCCTTCCAATGTTTGTTACATTACATACGACCACAGGGTGTGGAAAACAGGGCTTCCCGTCCGCTCAGCCGTACTTAAGCCACACGCCGGGAGGTTAGTAGTTGGGTGGGTGACCACCAGCGAATCCCTTCTGTTGTATGTTTTTGTGCGTTTTGCATATTCATAAAACCTTAAAAATGGGTAGTAGTAGTACTACTATTCTCTATTCTATCTGAATTCATCAGTTGGAAGTGTATATCAGATGTGAGTGAGTCTGTATACATTGCGGCGCTTGTCGTGAAGCATTTTGCAAGGACCTGTATTACGCCTGGCAGCCCTCGTAAAGCTGACTACAAAGTGCGAGCGGCCTTGCTCCATCATCATAGGAGTACATATGAAGTGCAAATATATCACCAGGATTACATTGAGTCTTGTAGACCACAATTAGGGTTGGATTTATGAGACCATACGAGACATTATCGCGGGTAATCTAGAAGTATATACACTCGCACCAGGGTTGCGTCTCCACCTAACATGTAACTTCTCTTACGATCTGTTACAATCTCAGTTATCGAGGGATAGTATGAAGCAAACTGGTTCCTGTGCTCGAGATTTTTTTGATCGAGTCATATGCTGCTTGGTAGGGAAGTCCTCGCATCCTCCCACAGTATAGGAACGAAGCTGCAAGAATATAATCCGCTTTCATAGTTGTGGATTCGTACAAAATTGAGATTGAAAGATGAGTGCTATCTTCTCAGTGTCTTCGCAGCTAATTACTAGTAGATTTATTGATGCGTTCTGAGTACTGTACCGCACTGGTGGGTAAACTATTGGTCTAGATTAGATCAATTCCATCTAGCTATTAATGAACCGGAAACCCAGAAGACCTATTGTCTACAAATCGTGCTGGAATGGTACCAACTTTGCCGATTTTGTGCCATAAACTAGTCATGAAGTCCCCAATTCTTGTCGTAAGAGCAGCCATTCTTTTCAGACCCATGACAAATGGATATCGATCTTTGACCCCTGCGGGCGCGACTGCGGCGCTAAGGCCTCACTAATGGGACCCAGGGCTGATCTGTGGAACGTGAATCAATATCACCAGTAATCATATTATTGCATGAATAAGATACATACAAGCCCCGCCACGACCAGGTCGACATCTGATCTTGCCAAGTTTACCCTTAAAGTACAAGTGTTTTGTGCAGAAATCCGGCGATTTGTTGAACAGCATGCTGTACCGTTTCTGGATTATCGTAAAAGTCGAAGTGAGTCGCCTCTGTCCAAATGCATTCTTTCGGTCCAGCTAACAAATCGTAGACTTTAGAAGCTTGAGTAGGGAACGCTGCCTTTTGAGAATGAATCATCAATGTCGGAGCAGTAACATATGAAGCCTTCTCAACAGGGTTGAAAGTGAGCCATGACTCCCATGACATGACAGCAAAAGAATTGCGCCACGCGCGAATACCACCGCCTCGTGACTGATCCATGTAGTAGGAATCTTTAGGAGTCTTGCTCGCTGCGGGCTCAGTGTCTGAGTATGCTTTAATCATCTCAATTTCGCCCGTCTCTCTGTAAAGATCACGAGCATGACGACCTGAAGCCTTTCGACTTTCAACCCCATCAGCACCAAACAGTATTGAAAGTAGATCCGGCTCCCCGAAAAAGCCTGCTACCGTTACCAAAGCGCGTATACGATTATCTTCTGCTGCAGCATAAAGGATATTTCCACCAGAAGTGCATATACCCAAGAGTGCTGTAGCAGCCACGTCCTTCCGGTTTACCAAATAGCTCACTGCCGATGACAGGTCTTTGGTCTTTTGTGTCGGGACTTCAGAATGACGCTCTGCGCCACTACTTTCCCCCCAGTTGGTATAATCGATGGCCATGGCGATGATGCCGTGGTGCGCCAATTGGCTCGCATATGTACCGCTCATCTGCTCCTTAACAGACGCCATTGAACCGCCAACGACAACGGCAGGATATCGTTGATTGCAATTATAGGTTTTAGGAAGGTAGAGATGACCGACAATGGAGCCGTTGCTTCCGTTTGGAAAACTAACAACTTTGGGGGCATTCCGAACCGCTGCGGAAATCATGTTGAAATGAACTTCAAATTTGGTTCAGGAGATGAAACGATCAAGGGACTGACAAAACAAAAGCTTCTGGTACGAGTGAGGAACACTTCTGCTATATGTAGCACGCATACGGATGTATAGGCTCAAAGAGAAAGACGGGCTTTTTATCATAAGGAGCGGAGAGAAATGAGGTGGGTAAGCAATCTTCGGCGATAGGACATAAGAGTGGGCAGTGTAATGCCCGGTTCGTCAGCAGCCGCTCGGAACGCTCGAACCCTCCCCATCCGGGATCGAGGTTTACAGTACATGGTTGAAAACATAATTATGGCAGCTCTGCCACTTATGCATCCAAGTACGAGAGTACGTACTGCCTTTGGCTGCCGGAGAGCTATGCTGATAATCTGGAGGGAGCCATAGCTCTCTTTGGTCCTGAATAGTAACTCACTGCTCGCCAGAGATACCTCGGCAAAGAAAGGATGCATAAGCCCTCAACATTAACACAATTTTATCAACAAGATAAAATCTGCACATGCCAAATCCATCATACTAGTAATATACGACGCCGATAATATGAATGTCTTATAATGGCACGACTGTGAGAAATTATACCTGTTCAGTGTTAACAGATTTCAGCAATACAGCGAAAACGTCCTTGGGCAAGAAGATCGTCAAACAAAAATGCTCGGCTTCGGAAGTTCAAAAACTGTGGATCTCTGATCTGGGCGGCATGAATGAAGGGAGGTGCTACCACCACACCAGCCAGCCTGCCTCCACACCAGTCTCCGCTCATGCCACACCCTCTGCCTACATCCGCCTACTTTATCAGGTAAGGTTTTATAGGGGTTTGATCCCTATAAGATAAGAATTGTTTCATTAAGCTAGTAAAATCCCATTATCTATCTTTTTATTCTGCCTCAGCTGAGGAGAAATTTAATTTATCAGACAGTATATTATTTGTTAAATCAGTAATTCTTTTGCAGCCTCTGCAGGCGAAATCGGGTATTTTTGGCAGTCAAATTATTTATTATATTTTATCTATCGTCTTCCATACCATATCTTTCATATTAGATTGCCAACAATGTCTAAGACTGGGAGTCAAGATATGTCTTTTTAGAAGACGGTGTTTGGGCCAATGCCTCAGCATGACGAATACAATACCAAATCCTCGATTACAGGCATAGATTCGATACAAAAACATCCTTTTTACCGGAGTATTCATTCTTCAGGGCACTAGACAGATATGAGTTAGTGTTATTTTAGATTAGGGTTTGAAAGTATTCTGTCAATGTTGAGGATCAAAGGATATTTTGTTAATATAACAACAGGTATAAATTTTTCCATAACCTACCCTACCCTGGCCATTAAATCACTCTAGTTCAGGGCCATATTCCTGCTTCAAACAGTGAGCACCTGCATAGCTAGCATCTCACTTAGCGGGCTCGATCAGGTATAAGAATATGAATTGAATTGAATTGAATAGTTCACTTAAAAAGTAAGACGAGAAGAAATACCTTTCGTTGGTTGTAGCCTACTTATTGATGACCCACCGGAATGGTTCAGGCCCAAATGAAGACGATTTGTGATAACGAGGCTGAGTCAGACCGCATTGCATTCCAGCAGGAAAAGCACCGCGGGTTGAGGCACAGCATGCCGATCGCAGCTTTTCGATGAAAAGAATCTCACTAGTGCTGATAGCAGGATCTTAACCAGTTCAGAGAAGAGCCTAGCATTATGATGGGATGTTCGCGATTTTTTCTCGATGGGGAAATTCTGACGTCCAGCCAATTATGACCGGCCAGGTCTCACTGCCCTCAAACCCTGACACCATCAATTCCCTGCCACGAGGCTGAGCAGTTCGTCGCATATTAGGGCCTCAAAATCCGGAAGAATGCGATTCTTGTCTCAACCCACACTTACTTCCAACAATGCATTACTCTCGTTCCTCTCTTCTTTTCGGAGCACTGTGTACATTGGGTCTTGCCAGCCCTTTGCCGTCGAGCACAAGCCCTACAGTGCACCTCCGTGATTCCAACGTCTCGTTCAAGGGGACGACGAGCAACTTGACCGAATCCTTCCTCAACATTCGCTTTGGTGAAGACACGAGCGGGAGCAACCGCTTCGCTCCTCCAAAGCCTTACAACTATCCCTCCGGCTCTGTGGTGAATGCCACTCAGTCCGGTGCAGCTTGTCCCCAGCAAAAGGACCCTATTGCAGATTTTCCCATCTTTGACAATGTCACTGCCATCTCTGAGGACTGTCTGACGCTGCGTGTCGATCGGCCACTCAACACGTCTTCTTCAGACCGTCTACCAGTTCTCGTCTGGATCTACGGCGGCGGCGACACCATCGGCCAAATCTATGACTCTGCCTATGACCCAAGCCTTCTGGTCTACGGAGCCGCCCAGAAAGATGTCCCGGTCATCTACGTTGCGATGAACTACCGTCTCAGCATTTTCGGATTTGCCTCGTCACCTGCATTAAACGAATCTGACTCCCTGAACGCTGGTCTGCTGGACCAACGCTTAGCCCTATGGTGGGTCCAAGACAACATTGCCGCCTTCGGCGGCGACCCAGACCAGGTCACCATCTTCGGCGAAAGCGACGGCGCAACAGGCGTCGGCCTGCAGCTAACAGCCTACGGCGGCAAAGTGCCCAAAGTGCCCTTTCGGCGCGCTATCATGGAATCAGGCGGCGCCAACGCCGACCCCGGAACCACCACCAACACCTCGAGCAAGCACACAGCCACCCTAACCAACCTGGTCAACTGCACAGCGTCCTCCAGCAGAGAGGAGTTGGAATGTCTGCGTCGTCTCCCAATGAAGACCCTCCTCAACACGGCCTACTCCTACGAACTCTCCCTCAACTCAATGGGCGGCATGGGCGTCTTCATCCCCACAGCCCCCTCATCGTTCATCCCTGATGCCCCCTCTAAGCTGCTCCGAACCGGCCAATTCGCCCGCAACATCGACCTCATCTCCGGATGGTGCGAAAACGACGGCGCTTTTTTCACTTCCACAACTCTAAACTCCTCATCCGACATCGCCGCCTCCCTCCAGGACAGCTACCCCAACCTCTCCAATGCTACCATCACCAAAGCCCTGGACCTCTACCCCGTTTCAGACTTCTCCCCGGACCCATCTGCAAACATTTCCGCGCACTACTTCCGCGCTAGCCAGATGCATCGCGATTTTGACTTCACCTGTCCCAGTCTCCTGACTATCCAGACGAACATTAAGTACGCCACTAACCCCGCCAATGTCTCGAACTACCTCTACGCACTTAACCAAACGGCCTTTGCGGAGGTGTTTGAGTACTTGGGGATGACGTATTACGGTGTTCCGCACTTCAGTGATATCATGTATCTCTTTAACTCAGTTACGGGTGGTTTGTTCAAGGATATCTCTACGGCATCGGACCGGAAGCTTGCGTCGGAGATGGGTGCTAGCTGGGCTTCGTTTGCGTACTGTGGCAATCCGAGCCGTGCTAGGGGTAGTGTTGAGGGATGGGAGCAGGCGTATGCTGCGAATACTAGTTCCACTACGCCGGAGTTGCAGGTCTTGGGTGGTCCGAAGATGAGATTCACTGGGAGTGGCAAGGGGGGTGCGTATGGTGAGGATTTGGTGAAGAGGTGCGCGTTTTGGAATGATCCTGTTGTGGCGAGTCAGTTGGGGGTGTAGATTATGTTAGTGATGAGTATAAGCGTGGGTGCATGCTGCCCTTTATTTAGTTACGAGATGGATATGAGTTACGCATTATGGACAAACAATTTGATACGCTCTTTATGATAGCTATACAGTATACAAAGATTGGATACATGGTTATTCTGTAGCTCTGTTTTTATTTATCAATAAGGACCCCGGCAAAGCACCCTGATCAGAAAGTAGTAGCTTTCTTCTGAAGGTAGTACAGCTACGTAGCACATATGAGAGAAGACAAGGAAGGAGATTCTATCACGTAATATAGGATTTGTTCGTAGTTAAATATAGTAGTAGGGCCCAGTACGCTTTTCCTTCGGCCATGGCGTCGTGACGATACCATCCCAAATCAATTATAATCTCTTGTATGATTCTACCACAAAACAATACTGAAAACAGGCACAGCGTCTCTTTCTTAATGAAGTATAGCAACAGCGTGGCACAAGGAAGCATCAACCAAAGATCTCAAACTTATTGTATCCGCTCACCCCCTTGCCATCCATCGACTGACATTTTCAGAGTTTCTAAAACAGAGTTCACGATGATGACATCGATATTTCTACGTCCAGGAAAGCAACTACCAGAACGATTAAAGTAAAAATTTGTCCAATCAGCATTCAAGTAATTCAGTTCCAGCTCTAAAGTCCCAGGATTTGCGCTGCTTCCCTCTCCGCGCCCGTTTCCGGGCGGGTTTCCAGACTTTAAGAACCTGTTATCGGCATGCCGAAAACCAGGATATGCAGGGCACTAACGAAGTTAATTATCGTCTTCTACTACTTCATGTAGCAAGGGATCTGGAATATAATCAATATACATGAGTACATATTATCAACTAGCTTAGCCAGAAGTGAAGTGCTTCCAACGTCAACTGGCATCTACAGACATAACTCACCATGACGCTCCACAAAGCCCACACACACCACCCCTCAAGACCAGTTACTGTCCTCGGGGCGGGTATTCTAGGTCGTCGGATCGCGGCCGTCTTTCTTGCTGGCTCTTACACCGTGCATCTTTTCGATCCTGATCACAATGCTCTCTCCGCTGCTGAGTCATTTATCAAATCCTCTGGCGAGGCATTCACTGTACTGACGCCTTTGCCGCATCCTGAGCGGGGAAAGCTATCGCTTTTCTCTGATATGAAGAGTGCGGCTGAGAACGCGTGGCTAGTCATCGAGGCAGTTCCAGAGCAGCTCCCTCTCAAGATCAAGATTTTTGAGGAAATGGATAGACATACACCCGGGGATTGTATTCTCGCGTCAAATTCAAGTTCGTTCAAGTCAAGGCTTATGGTTCCTGGTTTGAGTGAGGAGAGGAAGAAGAGAGTGATGAATGTACATTTCATGATGCCGCCGGAGATGCGACCAGTAGAGGTGATGACCTGTGGTTCGACTGAAGAGGAGGTGATGGCTGAAATGATGGAGGTGTTGGAGAATTGTGGGATGTGTCCGTTTATGGTGCGAAAGGAAAGTACCGGGTGTGTTTCATTCTCTTAGCTCTAAGGTGACAATGCTAATCATGATGCAGGTTTGTATTTGGCCGTGCTTGGGCAGCCATCAAGCGAGAGATCCTGAGTATACTGGCTGAAGGAGTTAGCACCCCCAATGACATTGACCTACTATGGAAGGAAGTTTTTCAGCGCCCAACGAGTGGCCAGCCGTGTCAGCTGATGGATCAGGTTGGCTTGGACACTATTGCAGCTATCGAGGAGAACTACATCCAGGAAAGGGGGCTGTATGGGGACAAAACGGTTGATTGGTTACGTGAGAACTATATCAACAAAGGGCGATTGGGTGACAAGTGCGAGTCCGGTGGGTTGTATCCCGCCGAGCAGGACAGCATGTCTGAGAAGCTTTATGTCTTGGATGTTGGTATCGGGGATAATAACGCACTGCGTGATGCGAGGACAGCAGGTCGTATTCTCGCAGTTTCCCCGAAGAGTGGAAAAAGAACTACCCTTGTCAGTGGATTGTCTTATCCAGATGGAATTGATGTTTCTCCTTCTTGTGGGCGGATGTTCTGGACTAGCATGGGGCACGCTTTCTCTGCCTGTGACGGGTCTGTGCAGTCGGCTAAGCTCGATGGGAGTGATGTTCGCACGCTCCTGAAGCCCGGGACGGTATATACGCCAAAGCAGCTCATTGTCGACGATGTGGATCGGAAGTTGTATTTCTGCGATCGCGAGGGATTAAGTGTGCACCGGTGCAATTTTGATGGAACTGATCATCAGATACTGATTCAAACTGGGTCGTTGAAAGTCCCATCAGAAAGGAAAGATATGATGCGGTTTTGCGTGGGTGTGGCCCTTGATCGGGGGAATAGACATATTTACTGGACCCAGAAAGGGCCGAGCAAATCTGGAAAGGGAAGAATATTTCGTGCGGGGATCGATATTCCTGCTGGGCAAACAGCCAACAACAGAGCTGATGTTGAGTGTCTGCTTGAGGGACGTCCGGAACCGATTGATTTGGAGTACGATACGCAGACGCAAATGCTCTACTGGACGGATCGCGGTGAGCATCCTATGGGGTGCTCCCTGAATCGGGTTGATCTTAGTGGCGATATTGATAAAGAGACAATAGGGGAGAAGGTGGAAATACTCGCGAGACAGTTCCATGAGCCTATTGGATTGAAGCTGACGAAGAATGGGGTTTATGTCACCGACTTGGGTGGATGTGTGTATCTGGTAAGCGGGACGAAGAAGACGGTGGTAACCCAGGGAGAAGGATGTTTCTCAGGACTTGCTATACTGCAATAGTGTCATGACACTCAGCGTGCAACCAACTTACTCGAGCTAAGACTGGTTATGTCTTTCTTCAAGAATAGATACTCGATAAACCCTGAAAACGCGCCACGTCCTTCGAGTTAAGCAGAATTACCACTGCCAGACCATCAACATGATCCATGTTTTTCCTAACCTGTTCCCTGTTTCTGATCGGGCCAGCGAACTTTAACATATAGTATCCAGGATTCCTGCCGCATTTATGGACTGCAATTGCCTGATGAACCTCTTGTCAAGAAGCACTGGCGAGTTCCATCTGCGGCATTACCTGAGCATAGTCAACTTAACCCCAGATATAATAAAATCAGTGTTAATTGCATCAATAGTCAGAAAGGAGTGCTATCAATGCACAGTGAAATAATCTCGCCTTTGACAGGTAGGGCGTGTCCCTTCTCCAATTTGGAGAAATGCATTACTAACGAGGATCACGGATGCCTAGTTAACGTAAACCACAATCACGCGGCCCGTACAATTGCGCGGCCCATCAAATATTACTATATAAAAGTTATTTTTTTAATCTTTAATATCTCAACTAACTTTAAAAATAATGGTTTTATCTTAGAGTAATAGGTTAAGATAATCAAACATTTATTTTTAATTATTTTTTCAGATTTTAATAACTATATATAACAGCTGGTAATATAAAATACTAGTAATTTACTTATAATTTAAAAAATCTCTGAAATTAAATATAAATAAATTATTTATTTTTATTTAAATACTTTGAATATATTAGTTTTATTATTATTAATCTTCATTCAACATCGTAGACTTATATAAAGTGTAGTTATTGAGATATTATAATTATTATAAAAAATAAAATTTATATAGCGTTACAAGATGGGCCGCGTGATTGTATGGGCCGCGCGATTGTGGTTTACGTTAGTCTCTAGTCTGTGGATGACGTGAACAGTTTCCTGAACCTCGGCTTATTTTGAGGGGACTATTAACCCGGCCCTATATGTTAAGTATCTAGGCTGTCTTCATTTCTCTTGTTTACTTCTACGTCATATTCATGATGTTGACCCAGCCAAAGGGCTTCCGATCGATCAGCCTACGCGTCATACAGCCTCGTAGAAAATACATGTCCCACTTTGGCGTCGTGGAGCACACAGCTCGGTGTCAAAATGTCCGACAGCGTCCGGGTGCCGTGAAAGCTGGTCATGAAAACGAGCTGCGACTTTCTGTTAAGCAGTACATCCCACTCAATAATCCTCACCCGAAGGAAGGAGATGTCACTATTATTGGGGCGCATGCAAATGCGTTTCCAAAGGTGAGTCAACTCCTCATGTTTTAATTTTCAATATGACTAACTTGTGCATAAGGAACTGTACGAACCCCTTTGGGATGACCTTTACAAGCAGCTCGCAAGTCAAAACAGACGCATCCGATCAATTTGGATTGCAGATGTTGCTCAACAGGGACAGAGTGGTGTTTTAAATGAAGCCATCTTAGGCCATGACCGTGAGCTCTCGTCCCGCACCACACAAGCCGTGTGAACATTCTTTGACGCCAATCTAGCCGATTGGCTCGATCACGGGCGTGATCTTCTGTTCATGATAAATCAGCTTCAGGACCAGATCCCTCAACCACTTGTTGGCATCGGTCACAGTATGGGTGGAATGCAGCTGTGAGTATCCTCGATTCGCTCAAAGCGCCCATTTCTCATGGATGATAATCCAGAGCCCACCTGTCTTTATTGCACCCATCCCTATTCGAGGGTCTTATCCTGCTCGACCCGGTGATACAGCGCGAAAACCCAGGCCGCAAATTCGCCCAGACATCTACTTATAGACGAGACATATGGCCCTCACGCGAGCAAGCAGCAGCTAGATTCAAGTCAAATCCATTCTATCGAACGTGGGATCCCCGCGTCTTCGGCCAATGGATCCAGTACGGGCTACGAGACCTTCCGACCCCATTACACCCCGTCACAGACGAAACTGGACCTTCCGCCGTTACTTTGACTACAACCAAGGCACAGGAGCTATTCTACTTCGTACGGCCTTCGTATGTTGACGAGCGATCCGGACTTCCCCGCGGTAACCCTGAAGAGGAAATGCATCCGGATGACCATGATGCTGATTATCCTTTTTATCGACCTGAGTCGGCATGGATGTTTCGTCGGCTGCCACATTTGAAGCCACCTATTCTCTATCTGTTTGGGGAACAGTCGGATCTGTCTTCTCCAATTGCTCGTCGGGACAAAGTGGTAACAACTGGTACGGGTCTGGGAGGTAGTGGGGGTGCAGCGCGGGGACTTGTTGAGGAAGTCGTGCTACCCAGTGGCCATATGTTTCCAATGGAGCTGGTAAAAGAAACTGCTGAAGCTAGCGCGGCGTTTATTGACAAGAGGTTATCTGATTGGGAGTCGAGGGTTGCGACGTTTCGCAGGGCGTGGGATGGAGTACCTCATCATGAACGGCTGAGCATTGATGGGCAGTGGGAGAGGAATATAAATGGCTCTTCAAAGCTTTAATCGGTTGAATGATTTCACTTTGATCTATGGGAAGGGGACTCTACCCCGGTGAGGCTGCGGTTAGTCGCGGGAAACGCAGGGCGTATACCAATGTCACTCATAAGGCGCGGAACCGTGGAACACTCCTGACGGTCCAAGCTGATCAACAATGCCCAATAATAAACCATCAATTCAGATGGATAGTCGAACTATGGTCATTAATTCATTACCCTTGAATATTCCCTAATAATTACAGTTGGTTGATATACTGCCCTACAATGTTCTATATAATACTTGCGATTTCACATACAACCGGTGAAATCCAAGAAACTCCTCGATATTCCTAGCCGATTTTAACTTACTGGCTAATATTTCCTGAAAATCATGATTAATCAAAAATAATATTAATATCTATAGCTTATGTTGGCAATATGAGAGTATCTTTACATTCTAATCAGTATAAAATCACGGGACAATATCTTCCCCAGTTATGCCGAAATTCAAAGGGATATTTCTTTTGGCCTAGTTGGTGGCCTAACTGGCCAAGCGAACCAGACTGTCATGGATTCATTTACGGGCCTAGTCAACCCAATGACCACTTATGGCCTGCAGGCCTGAAAACAGACCACACACATCCTCCCCATGGCGGAGGCGGCGTTATGCCAACCCATTTTATGGAACAAACACTTACTGGAACGACTACTTCTTTCACTTCATTGTGTAGGATTTTCTACCCCTCTGACCTATCCTCTAGTCGAAGGGGGTATCCCTTTTCTTCTTTTTTTTTATATATAACTTTTCTATTATATTTTTTTTCTGTAGTTGTTCCTATATTCTGCCAACTTTAGGAAATTCAATTTCTGACAGTACTCATCTGTAATGGAAGTATCTAGGATCACTGCTATAAACATACAATATCTTCAACCTAAACCAAACACGCAGTTTATTCCTTCCTGCAAACCAAATAATCCCCTACACTTTCAACCTGCAATACCAAAGCACAAACTCACATCCCCCCAATCACCTTCCCAACAGCACTCATATCCTCCCCACCCAACCCCCCCTCAACAGCCCTCCCATACAACCCCCCACAAACATCCATCAACGGACACTCCACCCCGACCTCCCTCGCAGCCGCCCTAATCAACTCCGTACTATTAAAACAACCCTTAATCGCCGCCTGAGCCTCCCAATCCCCCCTAAGCATCTTCTCGACCTTCACCCCCGAATACCTCGACGCCATCGGCCCCGCCGCAAGCACCTTTCCCCACGCCTCCAAATCCAACCCCTGCGCCCTCGCCAGATTCATCGACTCCGCCAACCCCACCGTCAACGTAATCAGCAACGTATTAACCGCATACTTCATCTTCAGCCCGGACCCTATCTCCCTCCCACAGTACACCGCAGCACAAGTCACCGGCTTAACAACCGGCTTCACTATCTCCTCCACGACATCAGGATCCCCCGCTATCATGCCAACGAGCTGTCCTTGCTCTGCGGGCACTTTGCTCCCGCTGACGGGCATTTCGATGTATTTTCCGCCCGCGGAGTGGATGATCGTGGAGAGGTGTTGGCTGTATGAGACGGGGATGGAGCTGGTGTTGATGAGGATTTTGTCTCTGAGGGAGGAGAGGAAGGAGGTGGTGAGGATGGAGTCGATTGCGGGCGCGTTGAAGAGCATCGTGAAGATTATGTCGGAGTTGAGGGCTACGGCTGTTGGGGTGGGTGCGAAGCGGGCGGTTGGGCTGGAGGTCTTGAGAGCGTGGAATTTGCTGGCGCTGCGGTTCCAGGCTGTTAGGGGGTAGTGTTTTGAGAGGTTTATTGCCATGGGTGTGCCCATCACGCCGAGGCCGAGGAAGCCGAGGCGCATGTTGGGTGTGGTTTGAGGGTGGTTGTTTCAATGTAGGAGAGGCGGGGTATGCAAATATGATGAAACGAGTGGTGTAGGGATTATGAGCGAGTCTGGTATCTGAACAGTACTGTTTGTAGAAGAAGAAAGTTTGGGAATATACTTGTCGGAGTATAGAAGTAACGGACCGATTTCAACCGTGCCAGAACTGATACTGAGTGCTTGTCAAGTATAGGGCGTGAGCGGGGAGCGGAACTTCGGGAGTGAAGTTTGATTGGTTCGGAGTATCAATGTTTCTTGTAGCAAAACATGCTCCACACCAGATTAGGGTTTTCTGGGAACCGTGGTTTAGACGCATGGTATTGCAGGATCGCTATAACTGATTCTGGGGTATAAGAAGCAAAGAAAAGAAAAAACACTCGGTCTAGGTGTAAATCCTATAGCTGCGGTTGTGGCGGATATCATATTCAAAGGGGAGGGTGCGGCACAATGAGTGAGAATAGGCCGTGTCTACTGAGTATTCATCATATGTTATGGGAGTTCCTCAATAGGCCACTAGTATATTAGGATAGAATTACCATTGAAACACCATTTCCAGTCTCATCATTCATTCATATACATGATATTACTAAGTAGTCCACCCAATACAGGCCTATTTCAAATAAAACGCCAAATCTGCCCCCTCTGTTCTCTCCCACTCCAGCTCGCCATTCGAAAGATAGGCAAAGGGGTTAGCGTTATTTTGGTAGCGGATATCAAAGTCTTCGCCGTGGATGGCAGAGATGGCCTCTGCAATTATCATACGTGTTAGCACACTTGATGGAATTCCTAGGGTATAGATCAAGGCTGGGTTACCTTTGAAGTGAAGAACACTGCCAGGATACATGGCCGTGACAGCCGAGCCATTGTTGTACCAGGCAGTGCAGCCTGAGCTCCAGACGGTATGTTTCAGGTTTGCCTGGACATGGCGGTTATACAGCTGGTTTGCGGAGTCGGTTACGACAACGGAGCTAGACATTGTTAGTGGTTGAGAACCTCTCATCATAGGTAAGGTCTGATCTCACTGAATATCTTCCCGGGAAATCTTCTTCACCCACTGCAGAATGTAGTCCGCAGTCCAGGCTAGCATCTGAGGGACGCTTCCATGACCAATAGGGCAGTTAGGCCCGGCGAACATGAAATAGTTGGGACTGCCAGGACAGCAGATGGAGAAATATGCCTCGGGTGTCGTCTTCCAGTCGTGAGCGAGCTGACGACCGTTCCGGCCTACCATCTCCCAACCAGGGATGAAGGTGGTGTCGAAACCTGTGGCGCAGACAATGAGGTCAAATTCCTCCTCACCTTGGGCGGTCTGGATGCCAGTCTTGGTGATGCTCTCAATGGGATCAAAGCACCACTCTGCGTTGGGCTCCTGCATGGCTTCTAGATATCCGTCTCCGGGGCTAAGACGACGACATCCGATAGCAGTGTCGGGGATGAGCTTCTTGATTAGGTGTGGATTCTTGCTAAGACGCTGCCTCATCAATTGCTCTGTCGCTGTGTATAGCATCTGATTGTACTCGGATCCCTTGAGCATCAGCTTGTAGACGGTATTGACTCTGCGATGTTGTTATTAGTAGATTACCTCAGTGGGTGGCGTTCAACGTACGAGCGCTCGATAAACTTCCTGTATTCCAGAAAACCCTCAGGGTCATCCCGAAATCGGGCCTTTTCTTCTTCGGTGTATACAAAGTTGGTACCCATTCCATCCCTGGTCGTGTCCGGGCACAAATTGACCGACACCCATGTTGGATGGCGGATGTAGTTGACGATCCGGGCAGCCTTAGGCTGCAGCGCAGGCACGATCTGGATCCCCGAGGAGCCATTACCGATGACAGCGATCTTTTTGTCGGACCAGTCGTAGGCCGGATCCCAACCCGCTGTGTGGAGGAGCTTGCCCTCAAACCGGTTCAGACCTTCAATCGTGGGCATCTTCCACCGATTGAGGATGCCTCCGGCATTGATGAGAATATCTGCTTCATCGTAGACAGTTGTATCGTTCTGGTTGAGCTCGAGGACCCATTTACCCCGTTCCTCGTTCCAAACAGACTTGACAAGTCGGGTGTTGAAGATGATCTTCTCCTTCAGCCCGTACTTCTCAGTTGTCGATCGGATGTATTCCTCGATTTCCGGGCCCTTGGCATAGCTTTGCGACCAGGACGGATTGGGCTCAAAGGGAAATACATAACTGTGAGCAGGCACGTCGCAGCCCACACCAGGGTAGATGTTCTCAAACCAAGTACCCCCTACCTCGGGATTCTTTTCATAGATGGTGAAGTCGACAAACTCAAGAGGCTGCTCGTGCTTGAGCTTGTGTGCAAGGATCAGTCCCGAAAAGCCCGCTCCAATGCAGACGACTCTGAGTTTTCGAGGAGTGAAAGCAAATCGCTTGGGATCTACAGCATATGCTGTGGATTCAGAAGGAACGGACTCTCTGGATGGCATGGTGATGGCAAAGAAATCCTCAAATTTGCGAGAGGAGTTGCAAACACGCAGGTTCGCTCTCGCAATAGCCAAGATCTCGAAACAGGGGACATCGTTACTAATTATATGATATCCTCGCAGTCCTTTGTTTTCCGGTTTTCCCCCGGCCGTAGCCTTATAGTATCAGGAACTAAAGGTCGGTCTAAGTTAGTGGTTACCCTAATGGGTAAGTCTACAGGCCCGATTGATTCGCAGGATGATAAATTAGCGCCAAATCCATTTAGCGAGTCTACCAATACAGTGCGACGCAAAAGGTGATTGAAAGAAACTTGCGTTGGCGGTAGGATCCTGGACCTGTCAGACGTTAAATCTCGCAGGAATTTGATGTCAAAACGGCCAGATTGAACCTTCGAGATGGCAAGGGCACCGGGAGTGAAGCCACCCGCTGTCAAAGACACGGACCCGCCGGCCCGCCTGGTTTGGGGGCCGGGGCTGTCAGGAAAGGGGCTGGAAGGATCGCTAAAGCATCCTAGCGGCGTGCCACATCCAAGGACTTGAATGTGATTGACGGGTTCGGCTCACTAGATGCACTGCGGCCTATTACTGAACAGGGTCGTGTGTCAAAACTGGTTGCTATCTTAAGGGCCCGGTGGTACATTTCAGTCCACTCGATATGTCTTCCTCTGCAAGTGGCAACAGGCATGTCCAGCAGCGTCTTCGGGGATCCTCCACCAGGGACGGACTTGACAGCCAGCAGGCGTGGAGTGAACAATGCAGCTGTTAGTGTCACATACGTGCTGGCGGCCATCGCCATTGCCTTTCGATTTCTAGCGAGAACCCGGGTGCAACAAGCTTCCATCGCCGCGGATGATTGGATGATAGTTGCTGCTTTGGTACGTACTTGTGACCATTCCTCAGACACGGCATGGAGATACTAATGATCATAATGGCTACAGCTGTCTGTGACTGCGAATTTCGTCTCCACCATTATCGGTTCGTTCGCCAGACCAAACACCGAGAAAGCGTACTGACAAGCCATCTTCAGGAGGCTATTATGGCCTTGGAAAGCATGTATGGGATATACCCCTAGACGATGTGATCAAGGTGGTGCAAATTCTGTTCGCATATGTCCTCATATACGTCGTTACCGTACCCTTGATCAAGCTCTCGGTCATCCTCTTCTACCGTCGCATTTTCGGAATGAACAAGGCGATGTGGTTCTGCGTCGCATTGACCATCGGATATTGGTTTTCTTGCACCGTCGCCTTCCTCGTCTGTTGCCGACCTGTCTCATACTATTGGACGCAGTATGCTGATCCCGCTGGCGGCCATTGCGTCTACAATCTTTATCCATTCTATATTGGGAACGCCGCTGCAAACGTGTCCACGGACGTGATCATTCTGCTGGTGCCCATGCCACTTATCTGGAGGCTTCAAATGCGAACCACCCAGAAGGTTTTGATTTGCAGCATTTTTCTACTTGGCAGCTTGTATGTCGTGCTGAACCCCGCCTTTCCGTTCCCATGTCTCATCCTGTCTGATGACTGATACAAAAACGATGTTTGCAGTGTCTGCGTGGCGAGTCTCATTCGAATCTATTACATGACGTTTCTTAATAGGTCTGTGGATATCACCTGGATCATGGGTAATGTCTTCATCTGGTCCAGTGTGGAGCCGTGCATCGGGATTGTCTGTGCCTGTCTGCCTACCTTGCAACCCGTACTGCGGTACACCATCCAACGTATATTCGGCTCGCGTGTGGGAAAATACCTGGGTAGCTCGGAGAATAAACTGTCCAGTCAAAATAAGAATGCCCCCGTGAGGAGGCCCAGGGATTGGGACGAAAGCCTGCTTGCAACACAGACTGTTCGAGTCGAGATGGACTCTATGCGCAGAGCAGACGACAGTGAAGAAGGCAGGATCATGGTTGAGACCGACTTCCAAGTGATCGAGGAGAGCAAAAGGGCGTTATAATAGCACTGGCGTAAATGGATGACAATTCCGTGGTGTCTCTCTAAATGTAGCTGGACGAGTGGTAGTTGATCATCGTCGGGGTTTCCAGCTAGACGGCACGCTGCTAGACGGCACGCTACAAATAGAACAGAAATCCAAAAGTAGACATGAACATAAGTTACTACAATGTCGCATCACATCATTAACGATGATGCGTCTGGATATCAAAATTTTATAATATGTACGACTGGCTCGCTTCACTAGATCTGACACCATAGCCCGTTAGCGATGTGACACACGGTAGGGACAGAAAAAGAACAGAGTAAAGCCCATCCATCATTAGTCCTGCTAGTAGCCTTCCTCTTCGCCCTGCTGGTAGACGTGTCGTGAACGTCCAGGGTCTTTGCGCATCTGCTGGCCAGAGCCAGTAAAGCCCACTATTGCAGTCAGTCTCCAGTCGCGCGTGGTCTAGCGGAAGAGTCCACTCACCTCGGGCATTTACTCCATCGCCCGTGCGGAACATGCTCTCCTTGCGACCCAATTTACCCTTGCTGGCAAAATCCTTCCACTTCATCTTGCCCGCCTCGAGCTCCCGCGTAGCCTTCACCTTCCGGGGCACCTTGGCCGGGCGCGCCGGCCCATCGCTCACCTTGCTCGGCTCCTTACGTGCCTGGTTGGCCAACGCGGGATTAATATCCGCGGCGGCGGAGATCACGCTCGAGTGGGGCGGCGGCGGCGCCGGAGATTGTGATGAGGAATTGCCTGAGCTTGCATCAGCCTTGCGCTTTCGCGAGTCATTGCCGGAGATGGGCCTGATGTCTTTGGAGGTTAGATTTTCCACCGTCCCATAGGACTTGAACGAGACGAGATACACGGGGTTGCTCGCAGAGCCGGTGATGGAGGTGATACGCGCTGGGTAGAACGAGTTGTCGCCCGACACCCACCGGGCGAGAACGTGCTCGTTGACGGAAAAGGAGGTCTGAGTTGACGGTTCGTCCGTTTGTTCGACCGTCGGTTTGCGGTATGTTGGTTGAGAAGCGTAAGAATCCTTGGCCCTGTTGTCCTTGGCCGCGGACGCCGGCGGCTGAGACACGGGAGGCGCGGGAGGTTTGAGTTCGGCAATGGATGTTTCGGTGAGGTTTATAAGTTCTTCCAGCTCAGTTTTGAGACTCTGCAATTCCGTGTTGTCTGGGTCTACCTGCAAACTCGATTGGACGGTTTCAAGCTGGGAGAGTGACGGTTAGTCACGGACGGACGGTGATGGTTATGTAGGCGCGTACCTGGAGCTTGAACTCCTTGACTTCTGCCTCCAGGGCAGCGACGTCCGACATTGTTGTGTTATTAAAAGCAGTAAAAGGAGAAGGTAATTAAGTCCTGCGGGAAACCAAAAGTTGAAAGAATAGCGAGTACGCAGGATGATGGCAGTCGTTGGGGTGGAGTGGCGGTCGGGCTGGAGCAAATCTGAGGTTTTGCAGATAAGAGAAGTCGCCTTTGGGGATAAGACTGGGCTGTGGCGGGGGCCCCGTTGCGGCTCGTGACTATCACGTGTATTCGCACCGCCACAGATGCATGGGCGCAAGTCACATGTTTAATTTATCCGTTATCTGCATTCGCTCGCTCCTGCTGCTACAAAGTACCATTCATCACTAACTCACTAGTGGACGTTCTGGGTTGCTAACGCTTATGGCAAAGTAGCAATAAATTCCTGCAACCTCAGGCTTGGACCGGTCACTATCTAGTCCCGGTTCGACTTCCCCACGACTTACATTAAAGACAGGCCGCCGAAGTCCAGAAAAGCTCCGATCTCAGGCCACGCCCGCATCCACTATCTAAGCTACGGGTCAACGGGTCAACACCTGGTTGGTGTCCGCTTCCACAGTCGATCCTCACGTCATTCGGCTGCGGAACAAAGGCCAACCGATGGGGGTGATAATTGGCCCGAGATCTGCCAGGTGTCCGTCCAACCCGCGTTATCAGGCTACATGCCACATGCCACATGCTACAAGCTACAGGCTACAGCAACAGTTGATACTGATGGGGCAGCGGCGGCGGCAGTCCAGCAGTCAAAACAGGGCGGGGAGATCAATGGCCATCCAATCTTAGGACTCGTCAGCCGTGGCAGACTACTCGTCGCCATAGGCTAAACCTTAAGCATCGGAGATCCAGATCCCTTAGTGGGTTTCACACCGCTTGCCCCGGTTGTGATCGGTCGGGGAGGCCATGCATTCGACCGAGAGTAGGGGAGCTCTGGCCAAATAATCTAGGTTATCCCCGGCTTACGAGGTGCACTCGAGATAATGCCTAGCTGCTACAGTGCCTACAGTGCTCTCATGGAGAAACCATGCAGTTGACGGGCAACTATTTGGAATACAGTAATCCTTCCGAGGCATCCGAAATCGCAGAGTGATAGGCATCAGCATGAGCACCGAAAGTCGGAGGGTCTGTCTGGTCTTAACACTGAAGCTGGGGGGCGGTGAGGTGACGGCGAAGGAAAGAACCCGTGTCCGCGTCCGAGAAAAGTGGCGCCCCATGAGTCACTTTTCTTGGGTGAGACAGTCGATCGGTTCGTTTAGTACGGAGTAGCATCGTCCAGACAAAGGATGGTCCCGGTTTTGCCAGGGAGGGGGGCAGACATCTACCTATCTAGCGATGGCGTAGATAGACTAGCTAGATAGGAGGCAGAGACTAAATACTAGTGCCTCGGACCAGTTTCAGGCTGAAGAGGTGTTGCGAGAGTCAAATCCATCGTCAGGTTGATGATTGCAAAGAGGTGACCAACCAAGGAACCAAGCAATGCCGAAGTGGTAGAGAAGCAAATGGGCGAAGAGAGAAAACCCGCAGAGGCTTTTCGGGTTGGATTTCTAAGCAGGAGTCACTGGCTTCCCCACTTGCAGCCTGAGGTTTGCACCGGCAGAACACCTCAGGCTTCACTTTTTGCCTTCTGCAGGGTTCTGTAGCCAATCATCATCCTCCATTCTATCCACCGCCCCTCGAGGCCATCGCCCCCCTCTTACTAGTTCAGTCGAAGATTCCATTCCATCTGCCTCTCTCTTAGTACTACTCACTACTAGGCTTGTCTTGTTCCAATCCACGGCCTCCTCTTCCTTCTCCTCTTCTCACGCTCTCTCTCTCCCCCCTCTTCCTTTCTTCCAACCCGCATCAAGAACCAATCTTCCCCCCCCCCCTACCCGGTGCCACAATTTCGTTCCATTCGGCTAGACCCTTAACGACGGGTCTCGCATTCTTTCGCCCTACTGCATCCCCCTACCTCTCATCCATCTTGCATCATCCTCCTCTTCCCATCTTCCCTTTCACTCACCAGCCCCTCTCCCCTCCCTCTCGTCCTCTTTCACGACCTGTGATTCGTCTTTAGTCTGCCTCTCCTTAGCCCCGTTTTGGCTCGTCAGACAGACCTCTTTGCGGCTTGTGCGTCTCGCCTGCCTTGCGCCTCTCCTTCACGCATTGTCATCCTCAACTTCACCTGTCTTCCGAATCTCACTTCTCCCGCAACACCCCGTCTCCCCAACACCTTCTAGAGACTTCCAGACTCAAATTGCTTCCCCCAACAACTCTACTTGCAGTTCACGGTGACGTGACAGCTGTCGGTGGTTTGTTTCAGTCTTCGAAAAAAAAATATTGTGCCCCTCCTCTGGTCTCTGCCGGTGTCATCGTACCGGAACCCCTCCTCCTCGACCCATCTCTGGGGGCCACCTATCGATACAACGAACGGGCGGGAAGCCCGGCCTGCTTTTCATCGAATCTACTATTACTTGGAGATCACTTTTGTTGAGCAACACTTGACACTTCCCCACAGCTTCAACACCTTCCCGCTCTAATTATCACTGTCGACTGCGATATTCTGAACACAATGGCCGACTACAATTCCCTCTATCAGCACGGTCTTTACCTGTCGCCAGATCAGCAAGATCTCCTCCTCGCTGCTCTCTCCTCCAACAATCCGCCCGCAAAACAGCAAAATAATTCCCACCCCCCGGCTTCCAAGTCAGACCCCGAGTCTACCCCTGCAACCACAGGTAGTTACAATATGAGTCCTGCGTTCGACCCCTCTAACCCTCACTCGGGTGGCCTGGGTTATGGCGATGATGAAAGTCCTTTCCTGGACTTCAACCCCGAGCTGGATTTTGACTTTCAAGGCTCCGAGAACTTGATTGGTGATCTTCCCGAGAGCCTGCCGCAATCGGAGGAACCCGAGCCGGGAGAGAAGAGGAAGGACATCGATGGCGATGCGGATGAGAATGAAGCTTCTGGCAAGAAGCGAAGAGAAAGCGATGAAAAGGCGGCAAAGAAGCCAGGAAGGAAGCCCTTGACTTCCGAACCAACCTCGGTACGTATGCTCGGTTATCGCGATGTGGGCGCCGAGAGTCCCGTGACACTAACAAACTCGCAGAAGCGGAAGGCACAGAACCGGGCTGCGCAGCGAGCGTTCCGTGAACGCAAGGAGAAACATTTGAAGGACCTGGAAACGAAGGTAGATGAGCTGCAAAAGGCTTCTGACAACGCGAACCAGGAAAATGGGTTGCTCCGTGCTCAAATCGACCGCCTGCAAGTCGAATTGAAAGAGTATCGCAAGCGTCTCTCCTGGCTGACCACGGGAACTGGTGTCTCTGCCATGAATGCCATCCCCGGAGCCTATCCCAACAAGGGATCGTATGGCCTTCAGAACAATGATTTCATGTTTGACTTCCCCAAATTCGGGGATCTTCCGGGCTCCCACATTTTCAATAACGGCCAATTGTCCAAGGCGCAGCAGAGTGCTAAAGGAGAGCCATCAACAGCAACGTCGCGTAATGACTCCCGTGTGCCCGGTGTTGTGAGCCGTAACTCTCTGAGCAGTGCTCAGTCCAACGGTGCGCCCGCGGGCAGGACTCCCAGCTCCGTGTCCCACCAGGGTTCCACTCCTGCGTCCACGAGGAAGTCCACTCCGAAGGTGTCCTTATACAACGGCACCGCTCAATCCACCTCTACGCATGATTCCTCTACAACTGACTCGCCATCCTCCTCGTCCGATTCCCACCAAAGCCAGAGCCTTTCGTCCAACGGCACATCCCCAGAACCCACTATTAATTCTCCTGCTACTAAGGCTCATCACCACCACGGTGCTCATGATGGCTGCACTTATACCACCATCGATGGTGAGGAATCCTTCTGCGCGCAACTTGGCATGGCATGTGGCAATATCAATAACCCCATTCCAGCCGTCCGGCATAACAGCCAAAGCGCGTCAAATACCCCTAATCAGGAAGCTCCCCACGAGGATGTTGCGGGTCTGGATACGCTCGCTCAGCAGAACGGCGGCCAGTTCGATCCCGTTCTCTTCGGAGACTGGCGTGAGCCTCAGGATGCAATCCTGTCTCAAGACTTTGGAACATTCTTTGACGATGCCTTCCCCCTGCCCGATCTGGGAAGCCCTTCACACAACCTCACGGAAGCGGCCACCCAACAACCGCCAAAGAAAGACTTGATCGCAGAGATCGACAGCAAGTTGGACGAAGAGGTTGTGCCTGGAGAAGATAAGTCTCAGATGCTGAGTTGCACGAAGATATGGTATGATTATCCTGTTGGACCCACCAATAATTACTTTGTGCTAACATCTTTTTTTTCAAGGGATCGTCTGCAATCCATGGAGAGATTCCGCAACGGAGAGCTCGATGTCGATCATCTTTGCTCCGAACTACGCATGAAGGCGCGGTGTTCGGAGGGCGGTGTGGTCGTCAACCAGCAAGATGTTGACGACATCATGGGGCGGGCGAAATAGTCAAGCGAGGGGAAACAATAAGTTAGTTCGCACCTGCGCTGCCCGCCGCATACTGCCCTCGTTGCCATCATTCTGCGATTCAGATACCCATACATGTAATGCAAAGCTGTTGTTGACGCCGTTACGACAAAAGGGAATATTGGATATGGGAGGTTTTTCACACGAACCCAAAGTGAAAAACCACGGAGTACTCCAGGTTATTTACCGCAATCTTCGATTGGACAATTTTTCATGGAAAGACTTTTGGAGCAAGGCAATAACCTCCCCAACACATATTACATTTCTCCATCTACTTTTATGACTGTACTTTCTCTACTATCTTCTTCTTTCTTTCACGAAGACCACTGCAGGCGAACAGGAGGCGTGGTTTGCACAGGAAAATTTTAATGCAATATAGGAAGCTTCGGGTTGGCAGACTGTACACCATCACCGTTGGAGTATTCTCTCGTTCATTTCATCTTACCACTTGGGTTTGCGTGCTTGTTCCTATGTATATGCACCGCTGGTTCCTTGATCTTTCAGCCCACCACACCACATGTACTCAAAAAAGCTGGGTGGCTGGGGGATTCCGAGTGATATATTGCTTTGTCAATCTATCTGTCTACCTACCTACCTACCCTTGGAAATATGCGAAAGGGTTGTTCATGTCTATTTGGGCGTAATCGGCGTATGTCTCTGGGTGAGGTAGTATCTCTGTATAGCCATGAAGTAATAAGACGCCAGTTCTCTCTTCTCCGATCACTCCCTTCATACTAGTCATTGATGCCCTCATTGATCCTTCAACTATCCATTTGTTGCTATTACAGTCATGGTAGTAAGTACTAGTACTAGTACTGCTTAGAGTTCAATCGGTTGTAGTGTCCCTTTCAAGACCGTCTTTAGTATGTAACTATGTATGTACGTGGTGCCTGACCGCCGCACCCGCCCGGAATATATATCCTGGCAGTACTACTCTAAACAGTCGTGATCTGATGATTAGCCCTCTCTATGACTAAAGTATATAATTATCTCTACCCTTACAGTTTTAGCCAGTTGCCGGGTTATGGTTACGTGATTAAGAATATCATCGTACTACTAGTATTATAAGTCATGTTGTCCAGAATACCCATGGCGATGGCTGTAGTACTACTACCTACCTACCAACCCAGCCTATGTCTACTAATGCTAGTCAGTACTAGTAAGTAGGATATTACCAGATGATAGAACGCTACTAAGTCAGTATGTAGTAGACAAACCGCATGAAGTTACAAGGGTATCGATATTGGTCCGTTCCAGGAGAATATAGAATACAAAAGAATCCTCGCCGTTGGCCGTTTTGTGGTTTTGTTTCTTCTTTTTTTCGTTTTTCGCAAAGTAACCTCAGATAAAATATCCCTTCGCTTTTTGTATTCCCGTTTCCCGCGGCCACCCAACAAAATCAAAGACCATAATATCATACCAAGTTCGATAGCACACATACACACCCACCTCTCCTCCTCCGCTTGCTTCTGCTTGCAACTCCGCTTGTGTCTCTCTGTCTCCGCCTCTGCTTCTGCCTTCGGATCCGCACCAACGACTCCTGGGGTCCTAAAGATCCGAGTGGGAAATGGAATTGAGCAGTTAAAGTAACCGATTCATCCTGTCGCCAGCGCGAAGTGTCTACTAGGAAAGAGGAAGATGAATGGGAAAAGAAGTTTGACGCACATCTCGCTGAAAAAGGACAAGAACAAGGTGAAAAGAGAAAAGGACGTCATTTAGCAAGTATCACAACAATAGAAAATTAAAATACCGATCGAAAAGCGTGAGATTAATGAAAACATTGGACAGGAAGAAGAGATGGCTGAGGGTAGAAAATAACACTTTCGGAAAGAAAGATAGAATGGGGGAATTGGAGAAACAAAGGTGGACATGAAATCAGAACGGGGAATCAGGCGCAATCACACATATCAAGCGTCGCCTCCAGTTGCAGCGGGCTTGTCGCCTGGTCCCGAGTCTGAAGTCGGAGCACCTCCCTTGTTGAACCCACCGCGACCGCCACGTCCGCCACGTCCGCCCCGGTCGCCGCGGCCAGCACCACCTCGGCCACGGAATCCACGTCCGCGGTTAGTCTCGCTGTCACTGGCACCTCCGCTCTGGTACCCGCGCTGGGGGGCGTTGGCACCACGGTTGCTGCTCTGCCATGTACCGGCATTGCCGCGGTGGCTGCCCCGGTCTTCGAAGAACTTGATGTTGGGCTTACGGGGCTGACCGGCAGGGGTAGGCTTCTTGTGCTCGGCAGGCTGGCGATCGAGAGCAGCCTTGGCCTCCTCGACAGTCGCGAAGTGGACGACATGGTTGTTGTATTTGCCCCATTTCTCAATCTTTGTGATCTTGGCCTTGTCTTCCTCGGGGAAGAGATCACGCACAGCTTGTTCATTCTCGACGTTCGAGACGAAGAGGCCGTTGCTCTGCTTCTTCTCAATCTTGGGCAGCGGAGATTCGGAGGGCTTCTCAGGCTGAGCGGTACCATTGGCCTCGGTGGCCGTGGTTCTCTCCGGCGACGTCACGGCGGGCTGCGTAGCAGGGGCGGCGGCAGGCTGCGGCGTAGCAGGCTTAGGGATCACGGGAACGGGGGATGTACGAGCGGGAGCGGCGGCGGGAGCCTTGGCCTGAGCTGGGGCCTGCTGTTGAGGAAGGGGACCCGTGCGGGCGGGAACAGGTTGGGCCTGACCGAATTGGGGAGCAGCTCCGGGAACGCGAGGCGAGGCAATTCCAGCGGGGGCGCCAGCGGGGACGGGAGCGGGCTGGGCTGGGCCAGCGGGCTGGGGCTTGCCAGTACGGTGGGCAAAGTTGAATCCTTGAGCGCGCATTTCGGTAGCGATGCGGCCCGACTCGATCTCAAGCACCAAGAAGCCGAATGCTGCGTCCGCCAAGTTGAAGTTCCACATGTTCTTGAAGGCGCTTTCGTCGACCTGGCCAGCTGCGTTGCCGGGGGCAGCAGGTCCACCGAACGGGTTGCCACCGTTGGCAACGGTAGGCATCTTGGTGACCACCTCCAGGGCATTGTCGAGCAAAGTCTTCTGAGCCTCGTTCTGCGAAATAGCGGCCTCGACCTCGCCACGGACGGTCTCCCACACATCATTGAAGGAAGCCTTGGAAGCGGCGAGCTTGCCCCGGTAGTGGTCGAGGGAGGGGTTGACGGAGAATTCGTTGTAGGACGACCCGTAACGGAAGTGCAAGCCAGCGGAGACGGAGAAATCGGCCTTGAGCGTGACCGACAGCTGGTTCAGCATGCCCTCACGAGCCGGCGACGCGTGCGTGACGAAGATCCGGGTCTCTGAGGGGTCGTATACACGGTTTGCTGTGTCAATCAGCTCTCCCATTTGCAGTAGGGTTGTCCACATGGTGCCTTGACCACCAGCAATAGTAGTCTTGCCCTCGCCATTGTCGAACAGCTTGTGCATAACTACAGCTCCTCCCAGACCCAGGAGACGGAGCTTCACACCGCCAATGTCGAGTAGCCGCGAGTTGGCTTCATCGATGATGTGCAGCTTGTCAACCTTGTACTCTCCCGAACGGAACTTCTCCAACACGCGAACATCCTCGCAGGCACCCCAGACAGTGTAGACAGGAACATCGAGGGTGAGCCGCTTGTCGAGCAGCATGGGAAGCTCTGAGAGGGGTAGCTGATCGGGGGTGAATCGTTGCTTGATCGACTGCTGGGGAGGAGTCTGGGCGATCGTGCGCTTGACATTCTCGGGGAGCAGGGGAGAGTATTGGGCCACGTGCTTAAGAGTCCTAATATTCGAGATGCAGATTGGTGTTAGTTCGATCGGGTCACATGTTTATCATGCATGAAAGCTCTCTAGCGACTGAAAGCAGCTTCACGAATCGGGGGACGGGGAAGGTCACTGACTTGTCTGCAATGCGCTCGAGCGAAGTGTCATCGTAGAAACCGAAGTCACCAGTGTGGATGATATGGTCTGCACGGGCCTGCCTGGCCAACTCATTCAAGGACTTCAGATTACCTGCGCCGTGGAAAAAGCAAAACAGATTTCCCAAATCAGCTCAATCGGGTCTACCAATCCGGGATCGTTACCGGAGCTAGATCCGGAGCACATACCTCGCACGTCCGCAATGCACAGCACTCTGACGGGACCATTCTGAATGATTCGACCATTGTTGGGAAGGAGAGGGGCGGCGCCGGGGACGGGACCAGAAGGAACAGCACCGTTGGGGAGGGGATAGCCTTGAGGACCGAAGTTGTGTGGAGGACGGGGCTAGACAAGAAAAAAAGAGCATGAGGTCAGCACGGAGGAAGACAAGATCTTATCTGAGCGCGTTGGAGGATCGCCAACGCGCGGATTCAGAGGGGGGCATGACGTTGGACAGCCATCACATCACAGCTTAGCTATACGGGGGCAGAAACCAGAGAGGGAGCACTTACAGAAGCCATGAGTAGGGACTGGAAATAGAGGTCGGAAAAGCGAGAAAGAAAAGGTCAAGAGTAGTTGATGATGAGGCAGAAGGAGAAGGAAAAGAGACGGGGCGAGAGAAGAGGAAGAAGACGAAGAAAGACGACTGGGGGGAGAAGGAAGCAAGCACGACGAGGCGGTTTGGAACACGGCGAAAGAGAGACTCAGAGTCGCTGCCAGCCGAAGTGATGTCTCCCCGCTTATGTAAGCCCCAGGGGCAGCTTTCCAGCAAACGGGCGCAAGGGACAACAACAACAACAACACCCACAACCACTAGGAAAAAAGTAGCAGTAACTAAATAGGAGCAGGAGTAACACCGATAGGTGAATGAGTTGAGATCTACGGAGTAACTCGAAAAATCTTTGTCGGGTGTTTCCTTAGCCTTCATTCACCACAGGGACGATCTATCTAGATCTCGCCCAATAATCTACACATTGCCCAAGTGACACTTCAAGTCGGGCCCAAACGGGAAAGTACCTGGCAGCACTGGCACAGCAGGTAATTCATGAGATAATCGACATCGCCCATGTCCCTCTAATCTACCTTACCATATATACTATATTCACATTTGAGTTTGCGATACACAAAGAGTCTGCCTAATCTACAGATTCTCTCCCTGGTTCAAAAGAATCTCCTGGCTGTCACTGCCTCCTTTGTTGCCTCCTTCACCAAACACCTGCTTCGAGACAGCAGCCTGAAGAGACTTAGGCCCTTGTAATGCCATCAGGGCAAAATGACCACCCACTGTTGGGCGAGCTCGACACAATACAGGCACCCCAGGACTCCGTCCCTTGGCGGATGTGGCAACGTACCGATCGGAGAACGGCCAGTTGTGTTTTCCGTTGGTCATGAAACTCCAGAGATCATCCACAAACTCAGACCGAGTGTCGGCGTCAAATGTGCCTGCCAACCACATGTTCCAGTCTGACTTGGCCCAGTCTTGCCGGTTATCCAACGGAACTCCATATTCCGCTCGAACGGACTTGAAGAAGGTATTTCCCATTTCGTATGCCGCTTTGGGGAAGGTCTGAAGATCAAGTAGTACATCTGGGTAGAGGTTGTATGGAATTTTCCACGAGGCTGGCTTGTCGGGATATTGCAGCACGAAGTGTGTCTTATTCCCGTCTGTTCCCCGGCCCTGGTTGAAGAATAGATCCGCTCGCGCTTCCCCGATGTCAGAGTATTCGGAAAGTCCCGTCAATTCGCCGAATGCCTTGATACCGACGGCCGCCTTGATGGCAAGGTTCGTCTCATTAGCAAGTGCACCAGCTGCGTCGTTGGAAGACAGCTGCTTGGTGATATCAACACCATTATCGACCAAGTAGTCCGCATAGCCCCTCAGGAGGTCGGTGTACTGGGAGGCCCATTCGGTGTCACCCGTTGCTCGCACGTAGGCCAGGATCAGTACCATTAGATTTCCACATTCCTCGATCGGCATTGGCTCGGCCTTCTGATCGTCATGCCCGATGGCATTGGGGTAATGCTTGCCCATGTCGTGGATTACATACGGCTTTTGCCAGCGGCCAGCAGCCAAATACCTCATCATCGGTTCCAGCAGGAGTCGGATATAGTCCGGGTCCAGAACGTAGTAGATCGGGAAGGCAGGCATGATAACGTCCACCGTGTTGAGGTTGCCGTTGCTAGAAAGCTCCTTGATGAACGCGAGGACATCGGTAGTGTCAAGAGTGTCATTAGGAATCGTCACCTCTATCCCTCCGTACGCCTGGCGAGCCGACAGTGTGACGATGTCGGCGTACTTCTGACCAGCTGCCGCTTTGGCTAGCTTGGCCATTTCCGTATCAAGCACCCGGGACTCCTGCAAAGCGTCGTTATAGTCGTCAAGGAAGTAAGAGACCGCGTCATGGCTATCTGGGTACTGCGATCGGTAGTATCCGGTGTAAGGCTTTCCCAAGTAATTAATGGACTCTTCGCGCACATGTCCAACGGCGAATGTCACTGATTCTCCACTCTCAACCCTTCCTAAGTCGTGCGAAAGGGCTACAATCCCTCCTGGAGCCCATGACTGACGGTTGTCGACCAGTCTCCCGGTACTAACAAACTGAGAACGCACGTCGCCACGTTTACCGGATGAGAAGGAGAGTTTGGACCTGGAAGTCGGACGAGAGGCGAAAATCGCCTCGCCCCAAGTGGCCATGTCATCTACTTCAGAGTAAGGGACGCCGTTCTTCAACCCCAAGGAAAAGACGGCCGTGGAGCCGATCTCACGGAAACCACGCGTAGTGTGTTGTGGCTTGCCCGTCCATCTTCCGTCGATACTAGAGTAGATCTGAATGCTCTTGGAAGAACCCTCCGACACAGAAACGGTCAAGTAGCCTTTCCCACAATATGGTCAGTTTCTAAAATACGATAGTCTATGCTGAAGTCACGATATCTTACTGAAAGGGAGGGACTGTCGCAGATAGTTTGAGGGCGATATGGGCGAGAAAAAGTCCAAAGTGAAAACCACCGAACCAGCGGAAAGAGTAAACACTGAATGGGTCGCAGTATACTCGGCGCTTCGAACGATAGCAGGACGAATGTTCTCGCCCGGATTCTTGACGCTCATCAAACTGTACGCCTGGCCATCGACGCGAGCCATAACCGACCAGGTGAGACTCTGTCCCGCCCAGAACTGGGGCTCCGCATACGGCAATGTCTGAACCTGATCGCTGGGCATCCATGTCGAGAGATAGGGACTTCGGACGGCCAGGGGATAGGATGGAGGCAGCGCTGGCTGATGATCAACGAGCGCACGCTCTCGTGGGGAGAATGCGGAGAGAAGCATGGTAGTGAGCGAGCCAATACCGAGGCTCTTGGTGAAGTCTAGATACATGTTGAAGTAACTACGTCCCGGAGATCCAGCCGTGGAGGTAGTCAAATATAATGGGGAGGTTACTGTCCGCCAGCATGGAAGACAGCAATGGGATGATGATGAAGAAGATAATGAAGTGAAACGGAGAGTGGGGTTGGAGCGGAGTTCAGCGCTGAAGTTCAATGGGGAGAAAAGGCACCCCTGGCTGGCTGGATGGAGCTCTCTCGTCGATCGTGGGCGTCGTCAGCCGTGCATTTCGTCATTGGAGCTTGAGCTGGCGTGGCAGCCTGGCCAGACGCGCTCAGGAACCCGCTCGTCCTCTGGGACCTTTTGACGACGCAGTGGAGCCCAGTCACACCATCGGCGATAAACTCCATGTTGGTCGCGTTGCAGACTAATTACCATGGAAGCGCTGGGACGAACTGGGTTGTCACGAGTCGATGATTCGATGATCTCCCTGGTTAAAAGGCCCGGAATGCGGGGATGCCGTTTTTGGGATAGTGCCATTTTCCCCAGCTTAATTGACCTAATCTACTACGTACAATACAGAGTGAGGAAGCAGTACGAGGTATTCTGAACACCTTAGATATTTTTTAAAATTCGAACAATATAAGTAAAAGTCAAAGCTTGCAGCAGATTGAATATTCACTTCATCCATCCTACAACTGAGACTTCTCAATCCTTCTGCCGATCTCATCGAAGTGGATCTGCTTCCCTGTCACCAACGCCTCCTGAAGGTATGCGCCAATCTCAACAGCCTTGACTGCGTTGGACAACTTGAGAGGCAGTGGCTTGTTATCCAAGCAACAGGCAGTGAACTCATTCGCCTCATTCACAAAGGCACCCCCGAAGCGCCCGTGGAAGTTGGCAGGGACCTCGCGAGTGATGCCTCCATTGTGGTAGTAGTTGACGAAGTTACGTTGTGGGTTGATATTGACAGACAGCTTCCCCTCGGTGCCAATAACCTCCGTCGTATCTTCTTGTCCGTGGGGCATCATTCGAGAGCAGTAGTAGTAGGCGATCTTGCCATTGTGAAACTCAACAATTCCGACGGCGTTGTCGTAGTCCTTGTACTTTTTCAATTCCGGCTGGACAGCCGTGATGCCATGGGCGGAGATGCTCTTGGGGACCGAGTCCTCTCCCATAAACCATAATGTCAAGTCAATGTCATGCACAGACATGTCCACAAACACACCACCCGACCAAGCAGCGTAAGCCACGTAGAAGCCCGAGGGATCGTACTTGTCACAAGTCTGGCTTCTCACGATGGAGGGACGTCCGATCATGCCCTGGCTGATCTTATCGTAGACCTCGCGATAGGAGTCATCGAATCTCCGAGAAAAGCCACACATCACCTTCAAGTGTGGCTTGGTTTTGGCCTTTTGCGCAACTGCTCTGCACTGCCAAGGAGTTAGCCATATGCAAGGGTGGGAGGAGATACTACGGCTAGAGATCCAGTTCTATTAGATATTTGAGACATACCACTTCCACATCAATTGATAATGGCTTCTCACAAAGGACATGCAGGTCCTGATCGATAGCTTTCATTGTCTCCTCGGCATGCACCGAGGTTGCCGTCCCGATGACGACTGCTTGCAAGCCGGGGTGCTCCAGCATCTTGTCATAGTTGTCATATAATGTAACTCCATATGGCTCCAGGTGTTGTCTGCCCCATGTGATCTCAGCTGGGTCGGGGGAGAAGGCTGCGACAACTTCGGCCCGCGGGGTTTGGTGAAGGAAGTTATGGACATGGACCTTGCCTATCCGGCCCAGACCAGCCATTCCAACTTTTAGCTTTTGAATGGGCATTGTGAGATGAAATTCTGTGTGTAAATAAAGAAGAAGAGTGAGATTGGATTGGATAATTCAATATAAGATATTCACAAGCTTTCTTGTTGATTGGAATGAAATGAAACCTGCTGGGCGAGATCCAGAGGCCTTATATGTTCTGGAGGCTTCAGAGTACATTGTCCTGGGTCCAGCAAGGCTGATGGGGAAAATTTCCTTCTTCAACCTCAAGTCCATATTTCCCCCTCTGTAGATGGGCAGTAATTGAGTTTCTGCGTTGTTTATGCAATGGAGCGGAGAGAGATTCATGCACCGATAGACAGTTGTGTAGAACCAAGACGGGTGGAGTTGCTCACTCCAGACGGAAAGACTTGCCGTCATCCACAAAGCATGGAATTGGCGCGACTGATTGGATGATCCACTGCAGCACACCGCGGGGCGTCTCCACTCAACATTGTTTGGGCAAGGCTTTCCATGACATTGATGCTCCCCTACAGACAGAAAGTGTGATTATCGGTGTGATCATTCTCATCATTCCTTAATCCTGATGCTTCTACCCCATATAGGAGCCACTTTCACATTTACTGAATGCGGGGTATTCTCCAAATGTACATCAAGGGGTGGGGGATGGAGGGATGATGGCACGATAAGAAAGAATATGAAAAATACAATAACTGGAAAGAAAGCCATCACGTTGAGCTGCTCTTAATCAAATGTTTGTTGACTGGGTCGCTCGAATTATCGGAGTTGATCGAGGTGCTGTGGCTGTGAGACGATTTTATGCGCGCCCGAAAGAAAAGTAGGATCCCCATCCTCTTTGCTTCATCCAAGCATTTCTGTGCGGTCGGCTTGGATCAACGCCAGCATTCTTCTCTATATCTGGTTGAATCTCTTGGTGTTTCAGAGTATCGGATCTAGATCCGTCCCTTTCAGTCGGTGTATTGCCACTCAACGATCTTTCCGTGATTTCTGTGGCTGCTTCATCTGGTAAGGAGGATGTCTTTGGTGTCTTCGAGCTCCTCTTCTTTACAGTAATGAACACAACGGTGAATAATACTATGACAGCGGAATTGTCAGTGCCTGTTCGACCACTTGACCGACTCATGAACCTGTTTCACTTCTCAGAGACATACCACCGATAACCAACACCAATGCCACGATGGTGCACAAAATAATCATTCCCTTAGAGGAAACATTTTGCGTCGTTGAAGATGACTCTGATTCGCCATCTCCATCTTGGCTGTCGACACTATTAAGTATACCTTGTGCGACCGCTGGTGATGATAGCACACCTAACACCAACCACAAAGGCTGTATTGAGTACATGGAGACGCCGATCATTTTTTGAGACAAGAATGTGAGATGCGCGGAGAAGTTTTTGTATCGATAACTGACACTTAGAACTAGAGGATAGCTGAGAGTAGTCAGGCTCGGGAAGAGCGCTCACCATATCATATATGGGAGTCGATGGGGTCACCAGGGGTGCGAGATTTGTGAAGAATTTGCTGGTGTACGCAGCACCACGACATCTTATTCCGTGATAGGCTTAACTGTGACAGCCTAAATCCTGAAGATGGGCTGGAGTGTTTGACTGTGTGGGAGGGCCCGGGATCATGCAGTTTCACTGGTTTGAGGGTGAAACGCAATCGTCAAATCGGAGACACGGAACTCGACTTAGTGGCATATCGGCGCCAACTGCAACCACCAACTCTGCATAGACTTTGGATAGTGTCCAATTGTAAAGGTGGCTTGGCCGCCGATGCACGAGGGCTCCATAAGTCTTCAAATGTTCTGCATCTGCTCGGGCGCAAGTGAGGCTGCGTCGGACCATTTGGACGAATGACCACAATTATACACCTACGCCATAGAAAAAGCAAATGCGACATCAGTAAATTCAGCTCTGCAGAATGTCATATCTCTGGAGAGAAATCTTGTGACCTTGATCTTTCAGGGAATGGGCAGAGCTATAGGTTGGGTATCATTATAGGGCAGTGATAATTGAGGTCTGGAATAGATGGCAATGCCATCTTTCCCAGCCCATAATTGGCCCGGTGAGGCGCCTTGTCTGCCTTGCTAGACAAGAGTCTTTTCTTTGACCTGACACCGATCCAATTGTCAACGTTTGACATTCTGGATTTCTTAGAGGTCAGGGTAGCAAAAACGGTGATGTTACATGCTATTTAGCTTGCAACCACAATGACTAGTAGTTAGTAGGTAACAGTACCAGTGACACATACACTTATCAGTATGTTGTGCAGTCACAATTCAGCCTCGGTAGAATCAACAAAAAGGCATTATCATGCTCGATTCGGCAGCCACTGGCTTCCGTTTGTGCATTTTCACTATTCAAGTCACGAGGAGCCATCTGTATTGGTCACTCAGGATACTCCTTGTCCCGCTCTTCTCACTCCAGACGACTTGCAGATCACTTGAGAGAGACTACGCTGTGGAATAAGTATAACAAGCAATACAGACGTGACAGTAGCGACTCACATTGTGATCTTCTGTGCTGTCATCCTTTAGGAACTCATATTCTTGCAAGTCGAGTCACTTTCTGTCCCACTTGGTATTCATATGCTTCCGTCTCTCACTATACACTGGAAGCCCAGGACCTGATAATCAAACTTCTCAGCCGCCTCAAGATGCAGAACGAGCAAGAGTCGATGTCCGAGGCGGATTATATAGAATGCCCTGATATTACGAATCTCGCCGATGGGACTACCTATGACGAGGTGGAAGAACTGCTACTCTTGCATTTGGCAGACCATAATGATTCCCTCCCACCAGAGCTCGAAGCAACTATGGTCTCAGAGGAGGACAGACCCGTGCCTAACAGACAGATTTCTCCACTACTCATGGAACGCCCTCAGAGTTCTGGTATTGACATGGCAGCTTTTTGCTTCCAGAGGCCTACCCAGGGTCCAAATTTGTTCTCCCTGCAGCCAGCAAGACGCTCCACACTGAATGCCATGCCTCCTGGGGCTGATACTCATCTCGATGGTGGCAAGGATGTGTCCTTGGTCACTCGAAAAGGACTGAGAAGAGAAAGGTAAGCAATATGTCTGACACTTGGTGCTAGGCTAACCTTCGTTTGAATGAGCAGTTCTTCATATCCAGCGAACTCGCATATCAGCACACGTAATGTAAACGTGATTCCACGAAATGGATCTCTCGAATCACAAGTACCAGAGGACACCTCTCTAGAGACAACACGGGGCAAGGTGCATGCTGGGCATGGCTTGCACGCTTTGCTTTCTGCAGATGTTTCTGTGCCACAAGTTGGCCAACGCTCGTCCGCTGATTTAGAGGCAGTCTCAGAAAATGCAGCGCCGGGTATGTGAAGCACCATGATATAGAAGTTATTCACTGACCTGTTCATAAAGACACACGTACCACTTCCATGGAACACAGAAAGGTGGGTAGTCATTAAATCAGGTCTCTCCCTTTCCTGCTAACGAGAACCTAGAACACCCACAGAAACGAGGTGACAGAGCATGGAAGCAAGGCACCCAACACAAGTATCTCTGGTGAACATCAAAGCAAAGCGACCGAGCAAAGTTTGTTGGTTTCTAGAAATCAAACATCAAGGATCACAAAGCGTCGCCGTTTAAACAAGAAAAGCACCTTCAGTGCCAGACTCCCATCCACTGGTGGCTCTGAAGATGGAGAACCCAAATTATCAGAAGAAGATCTATTCCAGTTGCTAATCAACCGTATCAGAGATCGCGAGAAAAGTGCAATGGTCGCCTCTAAGATGAAACAGCAAATGGAGGCCAAAATTACAAAGGCGGCCGAGGAAAACAATATGCTGAAAGGCCAACTGGAAGAATCTTGCCAGCAGATCCAGAAACAATCATCTCAGCTCCAAGCCTACAAGTCCCGCATGGAAACATGGAGGTCGAAGTTTGCGAAGTTTAGAAGCTTCTTGAATGAACTTGGCTGCGACTTTCAGAATTTACGTGGGGAAGCTATTCAGCTTAAAGGAACAAGAAAAGAATTGTTGATTGAGAGAAATGAGATAAGCACCAGCATAAAAGAAGCGAAAGCACAGTTAGCTAAGGTTTCAACTGACGCAGAACATAAACGAGGTGAACTTTCAAAGGTGGAGAGCCAAAACGGCCTGCTCAAGCAAAGTCTGAAAGATGCCGAGGAAAGATCGAATTACCTTTTGACGCAGCTGTCGGATGAGAAGAAACGATCAAGTCTTCTTGAAGTCTACATACAAAATTGTGCCAAAGCTCAGTCCACCAAATTGGACAAGATCATGTCTCATCAACGTGATATCAGAGGAAGTTTCGATGCTGCCTTAGAAAGTCTGGGCGATCAACATGTTGCTTCCATAAAGGCCCTCCAAGAGGGTCTGAGCTGTGATTTCAGCGGTTGTCTAGCCTCACTCAGAGAATTTTGGGAGGGTATCTCGTCAGGAAAGGCTGATGTAGCAGCATGCACAGACATTATCCACGCCTTCGCAGCACGGTAAGCTAAATAATTTGAGGGCAGAATCCTGTCAGTTAGCTAATACGGCTCCTTAGCATGGACTCGGCGATGCACCAGCTGGATGCTGGTATCGCAAAGGGGGCCGAGGCAACTGCAGGCCTGACCGAGAGTCTGAAAGCACAGACTGAGATTATCGGGAAGCATGTTGTCAACGAAAATCAGCTAGTGGCAAAGATTTCGAAAGATTCAGAAACTAATGAGAGTTTGCGAAACGCGCTTCGAGAATTGGCGGCCGCCAATGAGGACATAAACGTCTCAATGAAGGGGCTAGAGGCGAGAGAAAGCGGTCTTCTCGATCAATTTACAGCTCTGGAAGCCAGTCTATCGGCGATGCAGCTACCAGACCAGAGACAAATTTTAAAAGAAGAGACTCAACAGTTTGAGCAGACACTTGCCGAAATGGAAAGAAAGATCCAAGGTTTGTCGGAACAGTCCAAGTTGGCCGAGGAAGCCTTGAGAAACAAGGATCTTGAAAATCAGGCATTGAGAGGATCGCTGGAAATTGCATCAGCAAAGGTGGATGATGACGATTGTCGCATCCGGAGGTACGAAGCGGAAGTAGCAACACTGAAGGATGAGGTCAAGTCGGTGGAGGCAAGGGTTCGTAAAGAGCTCAGTAGAGCTAGTGTTATCTCCCGAGAACAGGATCGGGCAAGATACGACCAGCGAATCCATGAGCTCCTACGAGGGAAATCCGAGGTTGAGAGAAATTTCAGCAAGGTGTCCATGCAGTTGGCTGAGACACGACGAGACCGAGTAAGTTCCAATACGATTGAGGGCAGAAACCTACTGATGCAAAAAAGACAGTGCGCGAAGACATGATGAAGCAGCGAGTGAACGAACTGGAACTCCTGGTAGGCAAGCGTGGAACTCTGTTACTGTCAAGATGCTGACTGGTATAGCTTGGGTCCAAAGAAAAGGAGAATGAGTGTCTCAAAAATGACCTATCTGAGAAAACATCCAAGCTAGAAGAGGAGAAGCACGAATCAGCAAGACTTACAGAGGCCGTGTCATTGAGCGCGGCGGAGCAGACATCTCTTCAGCATCAGATTGAAGAAGATGCTCACCGGATTTCAAGTCTTGAGGATGAATGCTCCAGAATCAGCAAAGAGGGATCAAAGTCGATCGAGGATTTTCAAAGCAAAAATGACATGCTCTGCAAGGAGTTGCAGAGAAAGGAAGATGAGTGTGTTCTTATCCAGTCACAGCTCAAGGCTACGATGTCAGAAAAGGCGGGCCTCGAATGCAGCAAAGGGAAGGCGGCAGAAGAGATAAAATCACTACTCAGAAGGGTCCAGAATTCCGAGAAGTGGATGAACAAACTGAAAGCAACGCTGGGTCAAGCGGGCCTTGTCACACCTGATCAGCCAGCCTCGGAAGCATGGAGCAGCCTAGAAACTACTTTGCGCACAGTTATTAGCAGACATGCCGCCCGCGACTCCCCGGACCCATCTCCTGGTGGAAACCAGGGCGTTGGTGGCTCAAAGGCTCGAAGTTCTACTCTAGAACAGGATGTCTACAAAGCTACAGAAGTGATCTACAAAGCAGAAAGCTTTCAAGCAAGCATTATCTCTTCGCCCTTCCCAGCAAAAGCTAACCCGACAGAAAACGACGCCGCAAAACAGCCTTTCTGCTCCGCGCAGAACCCCAATATTGTACCTTTTTCAAGCTTCCGCCAACGGTCACCGATAGATAGTTCTGTCTTCGGTAATGATCAGGATGACCTTGCAGCTATGCTACTTCTTACTTCAGAGCAACAGGCTCCGAATGAGGTCCATTCAGTTAGCAAGCCTGATGAAGCCCAATCGACAGGAGCAGCCAGGGTCGCTGCACAAGAAGAAACACTTCTGCGAACGAAAACCGCTGGTACGTCAGCCAAGAGCAAAGTGCTTCAGCCAGATCCTCAAGACATGAATGACGAGAAGGCACTCGAAACGAAGTGCAGCAGTAAAGAGAAAGAAACTAGATCTAAAGGCGTCACTTTCGAGGCACAGAGTACGACATCCCCAGGGCAGAAACGTAAATCATCGGCCGGAAGCAACCTCAGTCCAAGGATTTGGCAGAGCCAGTCCATAGAGGACAGACCAGCCCGTCTCAATCGCCGCACATATGCCAGGGCTCGTCAACCCGTGTCTCGGACACTGGCAACCCTAGAAGAACAGCCGACCTGTCCCCCTAGTAATGAGCTTGCTGATGGAGCTGCGCATGCCACCGCATCTTGCTCCACTGGAAACAAACGAGCAAAGGTTTCTGTGGATCAGAAGCCACAAACAAAGCCCGTCAGCGAGTACTTCGAGCGCAAGCCAACCCCCAAGAAGCTTGCTTCCGGAAGCAGCAGGCCTTCTTCGATTAATGCCAGCCAGGGGACCAATCCACAGCGAGCAGCTAGAGGCAGGGTAGCAGGGCGAAAGACACGAGGTAAGACGCAGCATAAGATGTATAACAAGAACACTAACCCCAATAGGTGATCATTACAATGCTCGCTTCAGCCAAGGAGCCTGAGGGACACATGAACGAATATGTCAGACGGCAGTCAGGCGAAAGAATTACTTTATGTACCAGCTTTCTTCAATTCGTGCACTTGCTAACTTATCCGGCGTGATATCGGGAAGTAAGAAAATCATATTCCTATCTCAATTTCCGCAACACAGAATGTCTGGAGCTTTCCAAAATAATGTTATATGCAGCAACGCAAATAAATTGATAAATGAAGATTGATTCAACCCAGAATGTCTTGCTCTAAACGCCACAATATAACACCGAAAAAGATGCACAGCTCGAACGTCCACGGAAGCCTGTCTTTATGATCCAGCCTCCACGACCATCCTCGCCACTGCACCGTCTAATATACATGATCGTCTCATATCGAAAAAAAGATCCTGTGATGGCTCATCCCAAATCCAGCCGGAGGATACGGTATCGGTATCGGTATCGGTATCTCGCAAGTCGTCTCGTAGCGGTTAACCGTAGAAAAGAAGCCGAACCGAAGTGAAGCGAAGCGCAACTATCGTCAGAAGTTGCCTCTAACCACACACTCTCCCAGCGATCGAGATATATGGACGCCGTCCAGCCGAGCGTGATTATCGAAACGAACCACCGAGTAAACGAAACACAAAGAAAATATATCCGGACCGTAAGGTGGCTTATTTATTCCTTCCACCCTTCGTAGCCTCCAAAAACAGGACCTTCTTCTTCACGACGGGATCGTACTTGAGCATACTGAGCGGACGGTGCGTACGGGGACGGATCATCGTGCGATAGAAACCGGTCATGGCCATGGAGATGAGACGCACGGTGATAGTGCGCGACTTGACTGTATGATGCCAGCTTTGTCAGTCTTCATTCAATATCCAGTGGATTTCCGCAGTGTTACTGCGGGTGCAGTCGAGCTTTATGGGAAATCGGCGCAGGGGTAGAGTCATGGGGAATGTGTTAACGCACCTTTCTTGGCCATTTTGAGGGGCTTTCGGGGGAGATTAAGCTTGAGGAGGTGGATTGCCTGGGCGTCGAGTCGAGGGACTTGCGGAGTTGCGCCGGAGAAGTTTGGAGGATTGGATTGGGATGCTGGCACGTGATGAGGCTGTTTCCTGATTGGGGATGGTGGGTTATTGGTGGGTTATAGTTGGGTGGGTCATGTGACTGCATGTGGTTGGGTCGGGCTGTATACTTGGAGACTGCTGATTTATCTTTATGCGATCAATATCGTCTCTACTTAGGGTCGGCTTGAATATCTGGCGGAATGACAGCCGGCCAGTGAAAAGGATGAGATGGGACGGCAAGCATGATGGTGTGTTAACACCGGCTCGACTGACATTCAAGCAAGATCACATGGACATACTGTAATAGAGAAATGGAAAGCTTGGACCCGAATGTGGAAGGCATTTATTGTAGCCTTGGATCTTATACTAGATTAACGCTGCATCTTTCACCGAACTAGCCCGGCTAGCTCAATCGGTAGAGCGTGAGACTCTTAATCTCAAGGCTGCGGGTTCGAGCCCCGCGTTGGGCTTTCTTTTTGTTTTTCGATTGTTGGTTTTCTTAGATCCACAGGCCATCGGCTACCTGTGGGGCCTTCTTTTTGGCTGTCCATTGCATGGGATATGTGTGAATGCGGATGGCCTCGATGAAAGGGTCGACTACACTACCCGTAATATTCTGCCGCATGAGCGTCTCAGCGCATTTCTTACTGAGGGACTCTCTGCCGTAACATTGGAGAATTCTACGGGTTGTCAGGTCCCCAGGTCGCCAGGTCGTACGTATTTTTGGTTCTTACCAGTATGGGACCTAGTTATTACTAATACTGATTATCGGAAAAACTAAGCTGTAAAAATACACTGTCTCACCAGGTGGTAAACCTGGCGAGCTTTTATATTTACAGTATTTTTACTGATTTTTACTAGAAATTCTAATTAGAATTAAAAAAATGATTGAAATTACGACCTGGGGAATTCTGGTTATATATTACTGTATAAATATCAGAATTTATTAATTCCATAAATATATTAATTATATCTAATTATTTCTAGTAAATATTAGTAAATCTATATATTATCAATATAATTTAATTAAATATATATATATATAAATTTATTAACTTAATTTTGAATATATTAGATTATAATATAAATCTTCTAATTATATCTAATCATTTCTAGTAGATATTA